AAAGTTAAAAAAAAAAAAAAAAAAAAAAAAAAAGAAATGTATTTACTTTCAGTGAATTTAGATGATAATGGTGGGTAGGCTTTCGTTTCAACCTTTTCCTTTTACTTTGATTTTTTTATGTCCGCGCTGATTTCTGTCGTCTTGTGAATTATTGGCTTTTAATTAAATAAACTGGTCCTCTATTGCTTATTTATTTTCAACGCTCTGAATATATAATTTATTTGCAGATCAAACGTCGACTATAAATAAATAACGGTCTAAATATTCTATATTAATTTGCAGATCAAGCAAGGATTTTGCAAGTACTATCAAATACAGCGTAGATTATTATACTAAGAAGTAAGAACAAATTAGTTTAACACCCTCGTCATGCTCCACTAGGTAGAAACTTCCACACTGCTATTTGGGCAATTGTTGGCCTTTGAGCTATGAAGTCAAGATCTTTGCCTGAGATTTCCATATATATGCAAGCCTGTATGTTTTATAGCAACTTTTGGTGAAATTTTATATGAAATGTCAACTACATCAAATGAATAAATAAAACCACGACACCACCAAGAAAAAATATATGATAACTGGGATATTGTTCTCATCTTCCTTGGTCAAAATTCAAAAGTTAAAATACCAAGAAAAGAAGAAGAAAAACTCAATCTTTGCTTATTTAGATGGTGACCAACCACTTTACACCATATTATTAAATAAAAAATCTTTACATATACATATATATATATATATTCTGCCAATGATACATATACATATATCTATATATTTATATTACTATTAAAATTACACTGTAATTGTTCGCGGACATGTCATGCATATCACCATTAGGTCTCTTAGTTCAATGGTGAATGAAGAAGACCATATTCACAATTAAAAATTGATGCAGTAAATATATATATATATATTCTCCATTAAAATGAAAAAAAAAAATTTGCCTAAAAGAGAAAAAATGAGTAGGAAGAGAATATAAATGTCAATATTTTACCCAAAAATACCAATATACAGCATCATTTGATTGTAGAAACCTTGTTTCTCTGGTGGTTTCACTAAATTTATCAATGATTCCAAGGTCAATTTTGAAGACAGTGTGATTTATCATCAATTATACAAGATTAATAGAACAAAAATTTGTATATTTTTTTGACATGATGCAAACGAAACCGCTCAATTAATGTGGATTTTCATAAAGCTGTTATGGTATTATCACAAATAGAGGTGTCAAACGTGAATCGTCGTAAGCTGAATACAATAAATATCTACAAGTAACAACTATAACGTCGCCTTCACTACATATGTAATGAAACAAGTCAAAGAACCATTAAAAATAACCCTTAAACATATGAATAGAATATCCGACCGCTTCTGTATATATTTATTGAGAAGTCGACACGATCATATTTGACCAAAACTCCATAAAGTCCTCAAGAAACCACTCATAAACAAACAAACAAAAACCCTTAAACTTGTTGTTAAAGCCCGATGTCGTCCATCTCTACTCTGCTCATCATCACCGTCGTCTTCTTCCTCGTCGTTGGCCTCCCTTTGTGCTTCTCCGCCGATCAACGGTACGAGAAGTGCCTAGCATCGCCTCAGAGATGCGGGTATGGACCGTCCGTGTTCACCAACAACATCACGTACCCGTTCTGGGGAGTTGACATCGACAAACCCATTTACTGCGGCCGATCACCGTTCAAAATCTCCTGTGATGATTTTCTTAAAACGCTAACCTTAGAGATCTCTAATCTTACTCTTAGCGTTGTCTCCACGGAACTGGATGAAAAGACAATCACCGTAGCAGATGAGAGTTTCTTCGAGGATGGTAGTTGTCCAAAGATTTTGGAATTCAACGGGGATGAGCAGTTCACACTAAACCCTAACACCGAGAAGATCGATCTACACACTTGCTCTAACATGTCAACATCTGTACCAAAAATTACTTGCACAGGACGCGACGGGTATAATACAACATATTATTTCATTCCAGAAAGTGTTTCCGACCGTGGTTGTCACAAGGTTGGAGAAGTCCCGGTTCTTGAATCTGTTAAAAAGGATCTTCACGACTTTAATATAACTCTGGAGGGAGCTTTGAAAGGGGGATTTGCTGTAAGATACATCATAGACGATCAAGCTTGCCAATATTGTTCCAATTCCACTGGTGTTTGTGGTTCGGATTTAAAGTCCGGGAAATTCCGGTGTCTGTGTCCTGACAGGCCTCACAAGTCATCCTGCAAAGACGATGGTTAGTCCTTTTATTTTTATTTTATTTTAGATTCAAAGGTTTACTTTTTTTTTCCTTGACAATATTCGTTTTAGATAGTTGTCACCATTACATTTAAGATTAGTTCCATCAGAACGTTTCTGTACATTGACTACTCTAATAAGAACGTATACTTTGACCAGTCGATGGAGAATTGTAATCTTCATTGACTCAAGCCTAGTCTTGGGGATTCGGGTTTTCGGTTCGGTTCGGTTTATTTGGTTTTTGGGTTATTCGGGTTATTCGGGTTGGGATATTTAGGAACCGTTTAGAAACCAGACATTTTTCGGATCGGTTCGGATAATGTCGGGTTCGAGTCGGATTTCTATTTTTTTATGAAACCCGAAATGGAACCGTATTACAAATAATGCGGGTTTAGTTCAGGTTTGAAGCCCAATAAACTAAAATAAATCCTAAAAACCCGACCCGGATAGTTCGGATTTTTTAGATATTTTTATTTATAAATTATATTTTATATATGTTAAAATTAAAAATAGTTAATATTTTTAATATATTCAAAATATTCAGATATCCGTTTAGTTTTCGGTTCGATCTCGGTTTGGTTTTGGTTTTTTGGATTTAAAAATATAGGAACCGTTCGGGTTTCTGTGATTATCGGACCGATTTCAGTCTCGGTTTTTTTGGTACGGTTCCGGTTGGATTTTCGGATTTCGGACAATAAGCGCAGGACTACTCAAGCCTCTAAATAATATTTTTAATGCCCACTTGACTTTTTTTCATTTTTGATTTTACGTGTCTTGTTTTCCAACTATCGTTTTTTTTCTTGTGGGTGCAAAAATTTTCAGATTTCCATTTATCATTTTTGAATTATAGATAGACAGCTGGTATTTTGTCGACCTAGGTGAGTCAATTATTGGGTTTTTAATGGGCCGATACTAATTATTCTGGGTCCAGTTTGTTAAAGTATACAGAATTTTCCTTGTGGTTGAAGTTTCTGTGAGAAGACCGACGACCCTAACCGACCCCCCTCTACCCTTAGAAAAAAAAATATCTTCCCATTATTGTTTGCCATTACAATGGCTCTTCTAATATTAGAAACTTAATAACATAAGGAACTCCCATTTGTTAAAAAAAAAAATTGTGGGTCATCTTCGACCTACCAGAATTATTAGTTTCTAAGTCAAATTGCAGTCTTTGTTTTATTTATTTATAAAAATAAATTAATTTTATACTCTATACACACACTAGTTGAACAAACTCTAACTCTTTCACCCACTCCTTTGAAAACCTTTTTTTTTCTCTCTTTTGTTCTCTTCTTCTTGTTGTTATCTCATTTTCTTGTTCTCATCCTCAAAAATGATTCCTCCAAATTTCTGCTACACATCCCTTCACAATATATTCTTCACTCTTATACTATTAGCAACCCAAACCTTCTCTCTTGATCCAAATTATGAGGCATGTGAGCCCAAATCATGTGGCAAAGGTCCCAAGATCTCCTTTCCATTCTATCTATCAGGGAAGCAAAAACCCTTCTGCGGCTATCCCAGTTTCGAACTCACTTGTGACGATGACCAAGAGCTTCCTCTTCTCGGGATCGCCGGTGAGGAGTACGTCATCAAGAACATATCTTACGAGAATCACTCTCTACAGGTCGTGAACTCAAGGGTTTCTCATGATCCATGTCCCAGCCCTATGCATAATCTTACCCTCCATAGGACTCCTTTCTCAGTGATCTCCTCTAATACCAATTTCTCCATACTTTACAATTGCTCTGACAACCTACCGAAGGGTTTTAAGACATACCCTATTACTTGTTATGACAACAAGAGTCTTCCTTCTTTTGGGGTCTTCCAAGGGGAGAATCTAGGGAAAGAAAACATTTATACTTCCAGTTCGTGTCAGAAACAAGTCGATGTTCCTGTTTCAGCTAGTGGCAAAACTAATGTGAACATGTCTTTGGGTATAAGTTACGTTGATGTTTTGAAGAGAGGTTTTGTTCTGAACTGGGATGCACACAGTTGCGTCCGCTGCAATAGCAGCGGCGGACGATGTGGACATAATATTAGTAAGGAGTTTGTTTGCTTTTGTCCTAATGGACCTAAGATTCATGATACCTGCCAAACCGGTAATCACTTGCATATCAACTCATTGTGTTGAGTGTTTTTTTTTTGTAAACTCTGATTGGTTTAGTAACTTTTAAAACCATGCCTCAGATTCTATGTTCTTGCGAATACTATATTCTGAAAATCCCTGACTGTTTTCTTCATCTTGGTTTATTCAGGTCTAAATTTGGGGTTGAAGATCGGCATAGGTAAAAGCAGATTCTATCCATTTTCTGTTTTGTTAACAGTCCCCAAAAATCTTGGACTTTTTGATATGTCTTTGTGATATAAAATAACCATTTTAATTATACATTGGCAAAGTCACAATTGTTAGTTTTTTTTTCTGTTTCAAGTTCTAACAAATAATGTAAACCCCCTCAGGTATTGGCGCGGGAGTTTTGGGATTAACAGCTGCGAGCATAGCTTGGTTTGTATACCATCGTAAGAAAACCAAAAGTTACAGAACTTCGTCAACATTGCTTCCAGGAAACATATCCACAGAACCATCTTCAAAATCTTCAGAAATAGAGAAAGCAGAGGATATTTTAGTCGGGGTTCGTCTTTTCTCTTACGAAGAACTAGAAGAAGCCACTAGTAACTTCGACCCATCTAAAGAACTAGGTGATGGAGGCTTTGGTACTGTCTACTACGGTAAGCTTAAAGATGGAAGAAGCGTAGCTGTCAAACGGTTATATGATAACAACTTCAAAAGAGCAGAACAGTTCAGGAACGAAGTTGAGATCTTAACGGGTTTAAGACATCCCAATCTCGTGTCTCTCTTTGGATGCTCCTCGAAACAGAGCCGGGATTTATTGCTAGTGTACGAGTATGTTGCAAACGGAACGTTAGCTGATCATCTACATGGTCCACAGGCTAATCCTAGTTTACTTCCTTGGTCTATTCGGCTCAAGATAGCTGTTGAAACAGCATCTGCTTTGAAGTATCTACACGCCTCTAAGATCATTCACCGTGATGTTAAGTCCAATAACATTCTACTGGACCAAAACTTCAATGTCAAGGTTAGTAATTCACACTGGCTATTACTTATGGTTCTAAAAATCGGTTTATGTGATGGCGTATACGCCTGCATACTTATGCAGCAACTCGGTTATATCCGAATTTTCTTTTTTTTTTTAAATCCAATTTTTAGGATTTAAATCGGTTTAAACTATTCTAAATCTGTTAAAGTTAGTTAAATCGATCTAAATTAATATAAATTTATTAAATTAAGTGATAATTAATGTCAGTATCAGTCTAATTTATCTTATTTTAAATATCTAATTTTGATAATTCATCATAATAATTTTATAATTAAGCTAACAAACTAAAGTATTTTATATAATAAAGTGTATACAAATAAATCATTAATTCGTTAATGAATAATTTGTCCAGTCGATAATTCTTTATAAAAGTATTTGTTTAACAAAATTATTATGTCTAGTGGACCAACTCTACCAATCTAATCGGGAGCAAACTGATTCAAAAAGATTTGGTTGGGTAAAAACCAATATTCAGAAAATCCTGAAACGGTGATTATGTGATTTTTGAAAAAATACTCTCTCCCTCTGTTCCTAAAAGATCTATATTCTAGTTTTTTCACACTTTTTAATAAAACACAATAAATTTACATAGTTTTTTGTATTTATATTCTTTCTATAATTTTAAACCAATAAAAAATCAATTAATGCAATTAAGTTTTTTGAAGTTTACAATTAATTAATAAAATATGCATTGAAAATGTAAAAAATGGATCTTTTAGGAACAAATTTTTTTCCTAGAATATATATCTTTAAGGAACAAGGAGTAGATATAAAAATTGTTTGTTGTTGACTGCTTTGTAACATTTATAAACATCTTTCCTTGTTTTCCGACAAATAGGTTGCGGACTTTGGACTTTCGAGATTGTTTCCAATGGATAGAACACACGTATCAACCGCTCCACAAGGAACTCCAGGCTACGTCGATCCAGATTACCATCTATGCTATCAACTCTCCAAGAAAAGCGACGTCTACAGCTTCGCCGTAGTGTTGATGGAGCTTATCTCCTCGCTTCCAGCTGTTGACATCACGAGAACACGCCAAGAGATCAACCTCTCGAACATGGCAGTCGTTAAAATCCAGAACCACAAACTCCACGAAATGGTGGATCCTTCACTCGGGTTCGACACGGATACAAGAGTGAGAGAGACGGTGACCACAGTAGCTGAGCTCGCGTTCCAATGCTTGCAGTCGGATAAAGATCTTAGGCCGTGTATGTCACATGTGTTGGAGACGTTAACGAAAATACGGAACAATGGGTTTGGTTCAAATATGGATGATTATGTGGATAAGAGTGGACCGTTGGTTTTGCAGTCTCCTAATAGTGTAATGGAGAAATGGGACAGTAAGTAAATTAGTCACACGGACACTAACATTTGTATGTGTTTATCAGTCTATTAATGTTTAAAAATCATTAACTGAACAGTTAGAGATTTGTATTTGTGTTTTGTAATAGATTATACTTTTTGGGAATGTATATATGATCTGAGTTTCATGAATAAATATACATCAATACTCTCCACAGTTGATATATAGACATGCTCTTGTTTAGAACATTCAAGTGCTATGTACTATATAATGACTAGTAAATACTCAGAAATATCACTTTGTAAAGGCTCATCTCCATACTACTGGAGTAAATCAGTAATCCCGCATGATTTTACTAATCACACAAGTACACAAGTACACATTTCTTTAATCGAGAGGCGGCCCTTGAACCAAGTCAATGAAGCATGGACTTCCAACCGCCAATAAATAAGTAAATAAATCTAGAAAATGTATTTGTAGCCCAGTGGTTATCTGAGCTATTATGATACGAAAAGATGATGGGTTCAATATTTACCAAGTGCATAAATTTTGTTTTCCAGTCTTTTTTTTTTATTTAGAGCTTGTGGCCTTCAAAAGTCTAGGATCGCCTCTACTTTAATCACATGACATGATTCATGCTATTAACCAGCCATCTTGGAGATTCGAGGATGAAAAATAATCCAGAAAAGTGTATCAAGCATGGAGGAATGCCACAATAGACATTTCACCACCTTTTAGGGTTAGATTAATAAACTTTTTGCATGTCATGATTATGTCTTTCACTTTTCATGATTCAGTTTTAGCTTTTATTTTACGACATATAGATAGATTATGTTCTTATAAGGGAGTTTTATCATATAACGGCATCAATCATACTAATCAACTAAGGATGATCAGTGAAGTTTAAAATATGTCACAAGCTAATAAGTATATCACAAGTATTAAGCCTAGCTTTTTGTTTTCAAATTTTCCTAATTAAAGCACACCAATTTAGGGCGTAGATGCTTTACTACTTCCATTAATGAACAGGTAAGAGCGTAAGACGTTTTAAATGGATGTGACTGCATGTGAATCAAATCCTTCCCCATTCATAATTGATACTCCAACTAAAGTAATGGCCAACTCAATATTGACCTATGTTGCAACCTAACTCTGTCCTAGAACTTAACGTGTTTGATCATCAAAAAGGATCTCGATAAATTCATCCAAAGAGATCTCCAGTACAAACCATCAGTTATTTTCTCCACTAGATATAATTTGGTAACTGAATTTTTTACATATATATATATAAAGATACAAAAAATATATATATTAAGACACAAGATACAAAAACTATGAGATGTAGTAAACTTTGGTTTTATATAAAAAATACAAGAACATATACTCAAAACGGACTGGTTTTATACTCATTACACAACCCCAACTTCTTACTACATGTTTTTGCTTATCTCCACATTCCACAAGTTTTTTTTCCTTTTATCTCATACACAAATTTTATTTGAATTTTGTCGTTTCTTTTGGCATTAGTTATTTGGAAGCAGAAGTTGGCAAATGGATGTGATCATTTACCCAATATGCCAACATAAAACCCTCCCTATAAAAATATTTTAAAATGTTTTCATTAAAACAAAGTTTTGATATCAACTTAGTTTGACTACATCCATTACATTTTCTTCCCAAATATTAATAATTAGTTCAAAAGATAGACACTATTTCTTAACCTTACACCAAACTAAAAATAAATATGTCTAGTTCTTCCCCCTTGCAAAGAGAGAAGCCTTGTAGGACCCACGACCAAAACACAGGTCCCACTTCTTTTGTTTGGCCATATCTTCCCGACATACAAATCCCAGAAGGTTCACTTGCCCACGTGTCTCTCCCTTTATTTCTTTAGTCCCATTCAACATTTCTTTTTCTCTATTATTAAATCAAAATAAACTATAAACACAACGAAATAAATAAAATAACTCCAATCGATCAATATAAATGTCTCAAGCATTGTATCATAAACCAATCCAAACTGAGTATATCTTAATTCATTATATCAAATGGCTAATTTCGAGAACCTATCTTCTGAGTTTCAGACATTAGCCATGGATATATATTCTTCCATGACTCAAGCTGCAGATCTAAACAACAACAACAACGTTAGCAGTAACCTTCAGTTTCAAACATTCCCTCCTTTCTCCACTTGTATCGACTCTCTCTTCCTTCATCGTCAACAACAACAGTTTCTTGATTTCCCTGGAAAATCTCCATGCAGTGATAATACTTTCTCCTCGACTTCAACTTTGTATCATTCCAATCACAACAACGTTGACGAGACCAAGAAGAGAAAAGCTTTGGTACAAACTTTGTCTTCATCGGAGAATAGTGTTGTCTCTGATCATCAGAATATCAATACAACCGAGACGGTATACTAATTGATCTCGAAACCCTAATTTTTTCTTCTTTTTTTCTTTTGTCAAACTCTTTTATTTTATTAAGTCTTTCGTTTTAATGATTCTTGTTTTTGTCCACAAAATTTAGGGTTGTTCGAGAAGAGGTAAGAGGTTGAAGAAGAAGAATCAAGAAGAAGAGAAAGAGAGAGAAGTTGTTCATGTGAGAGCCAGAAGAGGCCAAGCCACTGATAGCCACAGCTTAGCAGAGAGGGTAATTTTGCTTAACTGTTAATAATTTGTTACACACAAAATTTAAACGGATGTTATATATGTATAATAATCATTAAATACAAAAATTTCAGGTTCGGCGAGGGAAAATTAACGAGAGATTGAGATGCTTGCAAGATATTGTTCCCGGATGTTATAAGGTAACTAATGAATGAAACAAATATATGAGTATATCCAAATGTAAAATTTCTATCGATTTGTTTTTGTTTGGTGACAATATACCTGTTTTTGCAGAGTATGGGAATGGCTACGATGCTGGACGAAATAATAAATTATGTCCAGTCTCTACAAAATCAAGTCGAGGTTATTAATCAAAAAATTTCTCTGATTAATACTTCATGTAATATTCCAAGGCAAAACAGTTACTTATTCCTGTTTTTTGTTATATGTGGATTCAGCTTCTCTCCATGAAACTCACTGCGGCAAGCTCGTTTTATGACTTCAATTCAGAGACCGATGCGGTTGATTCCATGCAGGTACTAGAACATTTTAATATTCTGTGTAATGAAGATAAACAAAAATAGAATCATTAGTGGTAAGATATGTTGCCATGAGTCCAGTATGTTCTTATAGAATCGGTTGCATAAAACTTTATATACAAGCAAGTATATTTGTATAGTGTTTATGATTTAGGCTAGGCCTTGTAAGATTGTGTGATAATCCATACTAATTAACCCACAATGAAAATATATTGTATGCCAAGTCCGATCTAGTCCAGTCTGGCCTTTGCATATAATTGATCTTATATCAAGACTTTAAGTCTAACTATAGTAGATTGCTGTGACAACTATTTTTTTATGTGATTAATTACTTATTTCTCTAAGTATTGAATTTGAATGGAATACAATTGGCAGAGAGCAAAGGCTCGTGAGGCAGTGGAGATGGGGAGACAAACAAGAGATGGGAACCCTGTCCTCCATTTATCAACATGGTCCCTTTGACTTTTGTTTTCTCCTTTTCTTATTTTCTTAATATTTTACCGAAATTATTCTTATATTCATTTGGATGTAATATGTTGTTATATGACCCAACTTGGGATAGTATTTGTAATCTGTATACATACTTGTAATTTCGAAATTATAAAATTGTTGGTGACTTATACTGGCTATCTCATAAATGTATCTTAATTATCTTCTTTCTTTTTAGCTTATAAAAGTACAACATGTCATTTGTTTTTTGACCAGAAAAAAAGTCATTTGTTTTTTTTTTTGTGAATAGCTACCCAAACAAAATCATCACCAAATGAATAATCACTTGATCAGTATCATCACTAATTACTTAGTTTATGTTATTTTTGTGACAAAAAAAATGTTATTTTTTGGACAAAACTTAGTTTATGTTTTTCTCGCAGATTTATCCTTCTCATGGAAAATCTATTATCCCCACATATAATTGTGGCAACTTGCTACGTGTTATAGTATGACAGTGGATTTTAGATAGTTTGACTTCTTGCTTAAGAACTGCTAGATTAACCAATAAAACAAAGAGCCAGATGAGTTTTGAAAATAATATGTTTTACCTGTTTTTTTTTCTGTAATTGTGGATGTTTAAGACGAGATCCAAATAATTTTCCTGGGAACTAAAGTCGATCAGTAAGTTAGTAACCCAATTCCCTATGTTATTTTTATGAGGCGTAAGTAAGGCTTTAGTTATCTTACTCAACGCTTGATTAATTCCTTAACCGGAATTCTTAATTTATGATTTAACAATTTTTTTTATTTTTTTATTTTTTTGACTAAGGAACAGTTCTTATCTCTTATTTAGGAAACAATTTTTAATTTTTCTTAATTAAAATCTAAGAAAAATTAAGAATAGTCTCTTATCGAAAACTAAGAAACCTAGTTAAGAGACTGAGATTAATCATAGTATCAACAAAAGACAATTTAGTTTATACCAGATTTCAAATTCGGAAGGACAAATTTGTTTTTTTATCTTTAATTATCTTTGTACGACTACCACCACTTGATTGTTTTATTTTAGTGATTACCGTAGTGGAACCTTGCAAACTAATTTCATGTCCATTACTAAAAAGAGTATACTAGATGATATAATTCACAATATAGAGGTCTTTTTCCTTCTTGTCAACAAAAGTTGGATAAATATCAAAACCAAAAAATAGGTTTGACCAAGTCAAACAGCGAGACAAGCGTAGTCAGGCATACACACACACAGATGCGATAGAGTGGGAGAGGCAAGTTGCAACTTGAAAGGTTCAGAAACGAAGGAGAAGAGGATTGGGCAGTATGGAACCAAAAGGACTTTGTCGGAACGAAATGACAAAGGCACCCTTCACATTCTGTAGCTTTCCTAAGACAATGATGTGTGTCTCCCAAACCAATCACAAAGACAAAATAATAAGTTGCGATGCAAAGCCAATGGACGTGTTTTGAAGACGAACAACCAAAAAAAAAAAGAGATTTTCTTCCTCTTTTTGTGGTGCTCTCTCTTATCACATCCCTTGTATTAACTTATTCATTTTTTTTTCATATATTGATTGCAATAGAGACGGTTCACAAAATCTAACGATGTTGCCCATTCATAATCTTCATGATTGAGGTGTACATTTCAGATATTTGAGTATATATTTAGTTATTTACATATAAAATATGACATTTGTGTCTCTGTTATTCTCTGTGTTTCTTAATTATTGTACATTTTCAATTATCTAACATTTCATTCCATTGGGCAGGTATATCTGGACATATACGACATAAATAGTTTTTTTTTTTGAACAAAAATAGTTATTCGACATAAGTAGTTATGTTCGAAGTTTCAGATATATAAATAGACATACTAGAATCAAATTTACCTTATATTTTTCCGAATGTAAAATGACTAACTCTGTTATAAAAAAAGATGGCTGATAAATAGGTAACGCTTTACAAGTTGCAACGTGGTAAAATAGTAGCCAAGTTGGGGATTAAGTTCTTTGTTAGCGCAAGTATCACACAATTCACTCGATCAAGATTAGTTCTCACTTCTCATCATCATGGTGTATATAGCTTCTGATCCATAAAAAAAAAAATCTGGATGTGTTACGTGCATGTATTGCATGCAGTAACTTCCTTTTTATTTTTATTGATTTCTTTAATTCTAATTGGATAATTATGTTTATGTACGTTAGTACAAGTTCTCGTAAAGAGATACTCCAAATTAAACAAGAATGGCGTTGAAGGAGTAGCTTTAGGTCATTACAAATAAATTGCTAAAATGCAAATATTACTAACTACTTCGATAACTAATCAATAAAAAAAAGGAAAAAGATGCATGCATCCAAAGAACAAGCAAAGACAGCTCGAAATGGACCATACATTAAAAGGACGATCAGTGTGGGATATTATGTTTACTTTCTCGTCTTTATGTCAAGAAAATATATAAAACAGACTTACTTATAGACTTGAGAAGGCTCGTGTCATAATTAAATCATCAAGAATTGGTGTGGATCGATTCTTAAACGTATAAAAACCATCAACAATGATTGTATGAGTTCAACACTCTAATTTACATTTTTTTTTCTAATCCACCTAATATTGTCCTCCCTCTACCTATCCAACACATGTATACAAATTTTATTTCTACAATAGTTTTAACTATTGTTGAATAGAACTCGACTCTCTAACTAAATTAAATATTAAGATGATATAGTTTAATAATTTATTTTATTTATATTCTTTACTATTTTTTTCCCAAAATAACATTAAAATAATATTATTAAAACAAATATACAATGACATATTTAAATTCATAAAGTTGATATTAACAAAAATAGAAATTATAAGGTAAACTATTTTTTTTTATTTTATATCCAAATGAAATGAAATTAGTTTATTTTTATAGATCAATAAAAATGATGAATTTTGGAACAATTGTTATTTAAACACATATTTTACTATACAATAATTAGATTTGAATTACTGAATGAACAATTATTTTTACGCTTCGCGTTAATAAATGTGTTCGCTGTTAACAAATATTGTAGACGTTAACAGAAGTGTTAACTGTTAACAATTATTTTTACGTTTCGCGGTAATAAATGTGTTGGTTGTTAACAAATATTGTAGACGTTAACAGAAGTGTTATATGTTAACAAGTGTTTTTACGCTTCGTGTTAATGAGAGGAAAGAGAAATGACATTCTCGGCATTTCCTTGTCAAATGGTTGTGTAAGTGTCCTTCATGTCCAATCAATGTCATTTTGCTAATTTGAACTTCAAATATGGATAGTTCACTAAATCACTCAAAAAAAATATTCAACATGTCTATTGTAGATGGTATATGTTCGAAAGATATTACAACAATTATGGTATAAATCCAGGAAAATCAGCGGTCACTTGTATTTTGAATTATATATTCCTTTTATACAGGCTACTTGTTTCTACGCATCTGACTTATTTTTCCTTATTCTTTTTGTTTAATATATCTTTTGTATTGTCTTTTATATATTTTATTGTAATTGCCTATTTGGTAATCTTAGAACTCTACCTTCTTTGTCTCTTTTAAGACCAGTGATCTATTTGTTGTTTTCCTATCCCTCCTTTGATTAATATTTGTGCAGTGGGCAAGAAAGCAAATGTCAGAGAGTGTCTATCCTCTATTATTAAAATATAGTGATATGTTTTCTTTCGCAAATACATGATTGTATGTGCAAAATGGTTAAAAGAGCCAGTTGTTCGTGCCATTGTTCGTGCCAATTGCCAAACTAATCAAACAGAACCTGAACTTAAATCTTTTTTGTTTTGTTTTGTTCAAATAGTAGACAAATACTAGTAAATGCCTCTGTTGATATCTTGACAAAAGAAAATAGCATATTATTGTTCATGAATCATAACATATTATAGGTATAAGATGCTGAAGAGGACATAACCGGGGGTTTACAATAAGTCATGAAAATATTGGGGTCCCTAAAATATTCCAAAATAGATTTGGTATCACATCATTAATTTGGTGGGAGAAAGAACAAAAAAAAGTGGGCTAAATTCAAGTATGCAAAATAACAATGTGGGGACTGCCCACCAATATATTGTATAAGTGGATCTACAGTAAATATTTCATCACATAATATTGTGATTCATGTTGTGAATTGAACTTGTAATGATTGATGGTGAGATTAACTTCTCAGACTGTAAAATATTCATGTAAATCAAAAGATACCAGGTACCAAGATATTTACTATAGTTGTAAATATAAATTGAATTCTTATAAAATGTGACTAATATATAAGAAATACTTCATAAGAATTAAGAGATTCGTATATTTACAAAGTTTGTACATATTTAAATCAAATAAAATTACAAAATTAAGTCCCAGTTGAAGCCAATGGATTCAGTAGAGAAGGAAGGAAAAACAAATATAAAGTATTTTTACAAGTAAAGCAGCTAAGAATAAAATAGTTCACTTTATGACCATTGTTTCGGCGATTTGAGCAAACTAGAAGAACTTCCTGTCTTCTTCATGCCTTGAGTCACAAGAAATAACACATCATGAGAACTAATACAAAATATGACTCTTAGATTTAGAATCTAGAAATTATATTTGTTTGATGGCTTACTTGGTGACATCAAACTTGATGTGTGCTTACTTGGTGACATCAAACCTGATGTGGGCTTACTTGGTGACCTCAAACCTGACGCGGCCTTTACAGCCCTCGTAGCAACCTTAAGTTTATCAAGTGGGCGTGTTGTCTTGGTAGAAGCCCTTGGTGTCGCTGGCTTAGACGTTCTGCAATGTTCGGTTTCAGAAATCTTTCTAAAAAGTTCAACTGCAACTAATTTCATTGTATATGCAAGAGAGATGAAATATAAATGTTACTTGTCTGACATCTTCAATGGTTTTCTCCCTTCTGCTGCTGTACGAGCAACATCAATGGACCCTTCTGTTTCATCATCTAGCCTCTCTTCATACTCTGAATCAACGGAGGAGGCTAAGCCATCTCCGTCTATGATAGAGTGTCGTGATTGTCTGAGATGATCTTGTTGGGATCTTGAATCTTCTTCTATAGAAAACTGTGACTCTTCTAAGTTTAACTCATCGGAATGTCCTAAGCTCTTTCTCTGCAGTCTCTGTGGGTAATTAATGTCTTTAAGCAAATGTAGCCTCTCTATTTCGTCGTCTTTTCTCGCTATTGTGTCCTTAAGGGACCCTAACTGCTCCATTAAGTCTCGAACATCTCTACCATCTTTACTGCTCTTTGCAGCACCTAACTCAACTCCAGAGACACGTTCCGCAAATTTCAAAGTACTCATTGACTCTGAATATGAAATAACATCAGGGTTGAGTTGCACAAACATTAGTGTCTTTGCTCTCCCACCTGAAATGAGATTTAAGCATATGGAGAAAAAGTTAGCTAATATCAGTTCAGTTCATGATGTAAAAAAAAAAAAACAGGACACTAAGTTTTGATTTAACCTAGAGAGCTTTGGAGAAGCTGAGTTAGTTTGCTGTTTCTATATGGTACATGAGAACTCTTTGAAGCAAGAGAGAAAATCACATCTCCTAGTGCTGAGAGTGACTTGTTTATATGTTGTGCTTCTTTAAGCCTATCTCCTGTAACTTCAGAGCGATCAACTCTCTCACTACCAGCCAGATCTACTAAATGTAGATTGCCAAACAAGGCAGAACCGGTCTTCAAGTCCTTTCCACGAACATGAACAGTGACAATACTGCATAAGGAATAATATATCCAAGTTAAAAGACCAAAACTATCCAGATAATTGACAAAAGACAAAAAAAAATATTTGTTTCATAGATCTTAGGAGAACCTATGGGAGCGGCTACTTCTTTCATTCAAGGCAGTTGAGCTAACGGTTCGGTTTTCTAGCCCGATGTTCATTAATTCAAGAACATCCGAGGTCGATGTCACGGGAAACATACTTGCATCAGGTACAGCAAGACCGTTTTGTTGAGTTGTAGAAAGAATACCTAACGTGTGAAAGTCAAGGAGAACAAAAAGACTTGCAACACAAGCATAAAGTAGGAGAACATCTAAATTGCAAGAGAAAGTTTGAAACAACAGTCAATAAAGGATATCTCTTTTGAGAACTGTCACCAGAGAGTAAATCAAGCACTTGTTCATTGTATATCTCTACCATCTGCACCCCAACTTCATACGCTATGTTGCTTTTTCGAGATTGAGAGATTTTGAAGAGGTCATTTAGTGCACGATAGTTTACTCCCCATTCTTCCTCACTTGCTCCATCTGGACCCGTCTGAACAAACCAAAAATGATTGTAACAAATGCAACAAAATAGCATATTTATTGGAAGATGATAGTGAGTGAATACCATTGTGTAAGTTTTCCCTGATCCCGTCTGACCATAGGCAAAGATACAAACATTGTAACCATCCAGAACTGATCGAACAAGCGGTTTTATATCCGAAAACACTTCAGCTGAAAGAATAAGAAAAATTCAACATATATTCTGATAATTTTTAACTTTATGAAGAAGACGAATGAAAACAAAATTTAGATGGAATGATAAGAAATAAGTTCAAAAGGGTAACAAAAGAACACCTTGAGTAGAGGCTGGACTGTAGACCTTATTGAACCTAAATTTACGAAGACCATCTTTCCCAGGCTTTGTGGGATTGAGAACTACTAACTCCCCATGCTCACCAATGTGTTCCACCACAGTGTTTGATGCACCTTGCCCTCGCAAGAAAGGTCTTACCCTACAATACACTCTAATGTTTCCTGCAAGTCATAATTTGGAAACATATAAGTTGCACATAACATGATTTTTTTTTTCTAAATCCGAAGAGTTATAAAAGCATGAATATGATATGCAGGAGCCACGTTACCTTTTAGCTCCTGAAGTTCATTGAAGAGCTTTTGGTTTTCAGTTAGAACAGCGTGATAGTTTTCGGCAGCCTCTCCAAGTTCAAGCAACTTCTTCCCTGCGGATAAAGATTTTTGTTGATAAACAAACCAAACTTATAATGTCACAAATAGATATTAAAAAGAAACGTGTCCGAACTGACTCACCTAATTGACTAAACTCTCCTGTATATGTGTCTTGAACTTTCAATATTTCTTGTTTGATGGACTTAGAATACAACCTCAACTCCTGAAAAAATTTAACAAGTTTAGATGACTATAAAACAATAACTAATTCTAGTCAATAGTATATGCAGGCATGCCTGTAGTGTCTGGAACTGCAAGTTGATAAATCTTCTATATGAAAGTTCTTTCTGACTCCAACTCCGATTCTTTAACTCTGACTTTTCTTCCAATTCTTTGGCTTTGCTCTTCCACTGGGCTAGATTTTGTTCAAGCTCTCGATTCTTAGCTTCAAGGCTTGTATTAACAGTTACCGTCTCTATTCTAAATTGCTGAAGCTCCTTCACCTTTTCCTCAAGAATCGTTTTAGCAGCAACTGCTTCTTTCCCCATCTTTTCAAGCTCAAGGTTTTTGGCCTCAAGGCTTGTATTAACGGCTACTGTCTCTTTCCTGAACTGTTGAAGCTCCTCTACCTTTTCCTCAAGAGTCGTTTTGGCAGCAATTGCTTCCTTTCCCATGTTTTCAAGCTCTTTGTTTCTTGCTTCAAGGCTTGTGTTAACAGTTACTATCTCTTGTTTGAATTGTTGAAGCTCCTTTACCTTTTCCTCAAGAGTAGTCTTAGCAGCATTTGCTTCCTTTCCAATCTTTTCAAGCTCCTTAACCCTTTCCTCAAGGGCAATTTTCGAAACGCTTGCGTCTTTTGTCATTTGCTCAAGCTCCCTCACCCTATCCTCTATACCTGTTGTGGCGACCTTTGTCTGGCTTTCCATTTTCAAGCATTGTTGCTCATATGCTTTCTTGGTTGTCTCCAGTTCTCCCCTTAAAGTGGAAATTTCAAGATTATATTGATCATTTGCTTTCTCTAGCCTAACCATATCCTCCTCTTTGGTTTTCTTCTTTCCCTCCAGCTTTGTCTGGCTTTCCATTTTCAAGCATTGTTGTTCATATGCTTTCTTGGTTGTCTCCAGTTCTCGCCTTAAATTGGAAATTTCAAGATTATATTGATCATTTGCTTTCTCTAGCCTAACCATATCCTCCTCTTTGGTTTTCTTCTTTCCCTCCAGCTTTGTCTGACTTTCCATTCTCAAGCATTGTTGTTCATATGCTTTCTTGGTTGCCTCTAGTTCTCGCCTCAAAGTGGAAATTTCAACATTATATTCACCATTTTCTTTCTCTAGCTTAACCACATCCTCTTCTTTAGTTTTCTTCTTTTCTTCTAGCTTGGACTTTTCTGTCTATCATAGTCATCTCAAGCAAATTAAGCTTTCACCAAGTTTATCACTGGCAAATTCTAGTGAGTAAATTTACATCATTAAAATGGACAGATGGCAGAGACATTACCTTTATTCGTCGAAGTTGTTTCGTAGCAATCTGATGAGACATAAGCTGATCAGCAGAGTACCACATGAAACAGAAAAAAAAAAATCTCAGGGCCTAAGTTGTTTCTTTATGATACCTCATTTTCTTCACTAGTTCCTGAAGCTAAAGTTTCAAGAACTTTGATCCTTGACTGATACTTCTCCTCACGAGCCTTAAACACACTGTTTTGCTGCACAAAGCAAGATCAGAACATAAACCAACTGAACACAACTTACTATCTTGTCTGTTGGAAACAAGAAGTACCGTTCTTAGATGCTCAGATTGAGTTGATATACGTCTCTCAATTTCCTGAACAACTTTTCTAAGGAGGCATGCTACACGCTGATCATAATATTGATTAGGTCAGAAGCATCCATCTAAAAGTATGATGAGAATTGTTTAAGAGTCAAGTACCTGAGGGACTTCACCATTGTTTCTCTCAATACTGTCATCAAGAATCCCATTAACAATACTTAAAAGTGACTGCGTGGGAGCATTCTGCATTCAAAAGAAGCATATATATATGGTTTTATTATAAATGACTTTGAAAAAAAACTACGGTTAAAAGATGAAAGCTAGAGCTTATAATACATCCAAGTTATTAGATTTCATCATCTCCGAGATCTTTGCAGCTTGGAGATCAAAACGGCCTTGTTTCATTTGGAAAGCCTCGTGGAACTTGTGGCCTCCATGGAGCATTGATGCAGGGGATGATGGATCTGTGTTTTTTTTTTAAAAAGAAACCATTTTCAAATATGAAACTCATTGAAGTCAAATAGAAGAAGAATGTGAAGAGAAGAAAAGAAAAAGTACCCAATGGGGAAGAAGAAGAAGTGGCGTGGGGACGTTGAAACTTGGAAGAATCAGCCGCGCGAGCTTTGCGCCTTTCATAAGGAGAAGAAGGAGAGAAAGGACTACGAGGAGTGGAATCTCCACGCGAGCTGCCTGATTGATCAGTGAGAGAATTATTCATCATCAAATCAATCTGAACGATCCTTCATTCTCTATCAACAAGGCCTGAAACAATCGATTTGTTTTTCATAGTTAATTGACCCCATTAATTAAGACCACATTACGTGCTTAGCATTTCATAAGATGATCAATATCATTATAGATTTAATGTTAAAAGTTCGATCTAGCTACTATGTGTAACGTCTAATCACCAGGATCGCATATCAACCGATCGATCATGATAATATATAATGGTTCATTCTTTAACTTAAATTTTCGAAATTGATCTAAAGCAAACATGTGGGATCTAACTAAATCAAAACGAATCGAACAATGCTGTACGTAACTATCATGGTACAAGTTCCGACAATGCGAATAGAGATTGAAGAAAACAGCTGTTTAGAGACGAACCTACCTGGAGAGTAGCAGAGACTCGCTTTGGTGCAACACGAGAAGAACGGCATTGAGATAGCTAAGTCAAAAACACGTACACAAGTATAAATTTACGATCAGAAAATCGGATCATGAAGAAAAGAAAAAACGATGGGGGAGACAATTTTCTGGGGAGATTTTTCGGGAAAGGGGAAGTCTAACCTGCAGGAAAACATAGAGACGGAGACGAAGACGTGGGATTAGTCACGTCAATGAGTTTTGGACTCTCTCTTTTTTTGTTATTGTTGTTGCTGTAGCGTGAATGTAGGAAGAAGCGCGAGTATCCCTCTTTCTCCTCCGATCGTTTTATTATACACCGGGTCGGGTGGTCGGGTCGAGTATTAGTTTAATTTTTATCTCCTGAATTTGTTATTATTACATATATATCTACCTATTTACCATTTTTATTATTCAAAACTAAAATGCATTTTGTGGAATAGTTCTTAGTCTAGTTCAGATATTAAAGATTTATTAATACTTTTACTACAAGAGGAATAAGTTTTAAATTTGATAAAGAGTCATCTATAAATAATTATACAAATTAATAAACAAAATTTATGAAAGATTTTTAGTATGGTACAAGTAGAATCATCACACATTGATTACAATGAAGTAGATAGATTTATCAGGTATATAGTCGTAATTCTCATAATCTGTAATTGAATAATAGATTAAAGTTAAAAATGATGACATTTCTTAACATTTTGCTAGTATTATTAGAGCACCTTTATCGCCGTATTCTATGGCGTCTCTTAAGCTATTTATTTTTAAAAAAAATTGAAAAATACATATTTACGGAACAAACGTCTCCTAATTAGGAGAAGAAGTGTCCGTCTCTTCTTGGCCACGTGTCTGCGTTGAAAAAAAAGAAGTGTTTCGATTATGCGTTCTCTTCTCTTCCTCGCTTGCTTCCTCCCTTCGTCTCTATCTCTTCCTCTCTACCCGGAGAAACCAACAGCTATGGCCACCGACACGCCAATCCGAATCGGAGTAATGGGCTGCGCCCAGATCGCCCGCCAATCTCACGTGCCATCCACCTCGCTCCAAGCGCCACCATCGCCGCCGTAGCAAGCCGTTCCTTGGAAAATGCCAAGTCTTTGGTCAGCTTAAAACCGTAAGTTTTTCAATTTGATTTCGTTGAAAATCAATCTGGTTTCTTCTGTAGAAGATAAAGTCTCTAGCATTTATGAAAATTATTCAGTTTCTTGTGTGTATTCGATGTTCATGAGAATCGTTCAAATTGCTGCAGGTTAGGGAATCATTGAAAATGGAAGAGGAAGTAAAAAACGGAGGGTTTCGGAAACACATGAAACCATCTGTATGTTTCTTATCTTCCATTGATCTTTTCTGATAATTATGATCTGATTTTGTAGTAGTGTGATTAGATAATTTTTTTTTGTTCTCTGTTTTGAGGTTTGGTTAATGTTTACTTTTGATGAATCATATTCGTGGTATTGACCCTGTTCTTACAGCTTCTTGAGTTGAAATAGATTGTCTCCTTTAATTTACAAGTGTTTCTTTGTTTTGATTTGCTTATCAAGTCTTAGTTGATTGTAAAGTTTGGTTCTTTTTATCTTGTTGTTGGCTGTGATTCCTGAAGTGATCAGTTGATATAATTGTATGGTCTTTGAGTACAGTTCTCAGGATTATTACTTGTATACAGATAATTATGATGACCCATTTGACTTCTTTAACATATCAGTATTTATCATGTTTGGCGCAGTCTAAGAGAAAAAGCACATAAACACAAACACATATGTTCTTCGTTGTAGCTTTATTGCGTTAAAACCTTTAAAGAAGTCAAAGCTCAAAGAAACAAGAGGAAGATGATGTTCATGTTCATCCGTCTAGTATCTGCGGGAAAAGTTCTATTTATCTCCTCTTCCTATTTTAATGTCGTTGTTGTGTTGATTGTTTCCTTTTGTATATGTGTTACAGAGTGTCCACTGGACTTGACTTCATCAAACTTCATTCTCGTCGCTTCCGTCTGCTCCAACAACACCCATCAAACTTCACTCTGATTGTTCTGTAAATTTGGTTGCTTTGGATCATGTTTGAATGAATACTTGCTACTATGATGGTATGGGAGATGGTAATATGGAAGATAGGGCAAGTGTTGAGAATGTTTATTTTTTTTTTAAGAACCTTTAAATAAAAGACTTGCAATGGACCACACAAATATATATGTCTCTTAACTAAGTCTCTTAAACCACTTTTCTAACTAAAAATTAATTAAAAAAGATTAAGAACCCCTAAATGAGTATGTGGGATAATGATGCTCTTAGGCCTGAACATACGATTTATTCGGATTATGTACTCTGGTCTGTTAGATTGTCGGTAAAAACTCTAGTCCCTAAACTTTGTGAATTTAACTTTCAGTCCCTTTACCAGAGTTGACTTGCAGGTTGGCTGTGAGATAGTGGACGGGGGAATGGGATCTTCCATCCATCAACACCGTTAACTCCAAAGTCCTGTGTTGTGAAAACTTGCTCTTTCCAGTCTCTCTATCTGTTAATGGTTCTTTTCTCAAAGTGTGAATCTTTCATTTCATTTTTTTTTTCCTTTTAAATACGTCTTTAATGTTTGACAAGGGACACTACTTATGAATTGACCCTTTCTGATGATTGTAGGTTGGACAATTGTTTTACAAAGTCTCCCTTAAGCAAGTACGTGCTGTGTACTTTACCAAACAAAGACGGTAACAAGGTCATTGAAACTTTGAAAGAAACACTTGTTTCGTTGTTCTGTTTTGGTTTCAAGAAACATTACAATAACTTCATCCTCCAATTAGAAATTTGTAGTTGTTCCGAGTTCAATGAGAAAAGCAAAAAAAAGGATAGTGTAAACTAGATGGAAGATCTTAGTGTTTATCCGCAAAGAAGTCAGACGAGGAAGAGTGTTCCGGCTAGAATTGCTGCGACCACAAAGATTGTCACCTGAATCTTAGACTTTGGACCAGATGATCTAAGATCATCATCACCTAACCCCATCATATTGCTTGGTTTTGGTGCCACTTGAGCCACTGGAGTTGCTGAAAATGAAAATTAGGCACGTCAAGGGGTTTTATGACACACAACATCTTTAATTACCAAATAAAGTTTTCACATTTTTATTAACACTATTCCTCATTGTTAATGTTTGTGGTTCAGCTTATGACTAAAATTATATAATTGACTTACCTGCAACAGCAGAATTGTTCTTTGCGTCCATAGATACTGGAGAACCGGTTGAGTTAGTAGATGGTGGAGAAGCAGAGGAAGCTCCTTTCAACAAAAAACAAAAATATTCTTAACAAGTTTGCAAAATGGATACATATTTAAGTTGAGTTTGTTTGTGTGTGTAACAAGCAATTTAATATACATACCTGAGGAGCAAATAGATGAATTGGCTGGAATGCTACAAAGCTGAGGCAATTGCAGCGCGAGGGTTTGATTGATGGGAAAAGCAGATGATATAGTTGAATTGTTGTTGAGGAAGAGACAGAGACAGGTCGGTTGTTGGGTGTAGATCTGGCTCAGGCTGCTGCAGCATGGCTGAGCCGGGAACTGGACAAAGCCCTGCACGAATGGACCACATGGAGCCAGAGCTAACAGAAGAGAAGCACAAGAAGCTGGGGGACTCTGTCCTTGAGCGAGACTTGGTTGGAGGAAAACTGATACCAAGGAGATTAAGACAGTAATAAAGACACTTGAAGATGCCATTTGTGTTTTATGTCTTGACAATTACTTGTAAAATAATTCTTTGTAGCGATGGAGATGGTTAGGGTTTATAGAAAAAGAGCAGTATTTAACGTTGGATTCAATGAGTTTATTGTGCAACTGAAAACATCATGCAAAATTTGTGTTCTGCGCAACACTTGAAGTTCTTCATGTTGTGTCTTGTAAGGTATATGAGGTCATTGCTGTTATATATTTGACCGTTTGACTGTTTATTTTTTTGGTATTAATAAACATTTGTTGAGACTATGTATGGATAAAAAGTGTAATTAAACACAACAACGTGTTCAAAGACGTGCATACCAAATACACAAGATTTGCATACCATTTCTTTACATTATCGAAAAAAGTTCCAAATTTGGAATCTGGGGTTTTACATGACGAAAAACGTCGTGTATGCGATACAAAATCATGTATGATCATCCTCTTTAAAACCACAATGCACAAGAAATAAAACCTCTTCTTCTTCCAAAGAAGTCCCGTTTCTGTTTATGCCTCTCTGTTCTTGGTGATCATCAGAATCACGAAATGGCTGCACCAAGGCTGGAATCTTTCAGGAGGGGTAGCATGTTTGACGCATCGTTTAGGAGAAGTAGTATGTTCGATGGTTCGTTTAGACAAAGCTTAAGGGACAGGCTTCTTCCACATCCGACCAGAGACTCTTTCTATCCCGGTGAGGACAAAAATCCCGCTCCTTGCTGCTCCTACAGGTTATCTATCATCTACAAATAATCTCTCTCTCTCACCCAAAACTATGTTGACCAAATTTTTTGGAACCCCTTTTTATATCATTTGATGCCTCTTGGAACCAAAATCTGATTTGAAATGCCATTTTGGTGTTGTTTGCAGGAACTTCTCCGACAAGATCACTGGGTTTGTGAAGAAATCACAAGATGTTTTGTTCACGGCGTGGGAGATGGGAACATCTGACCCAAGGAAGATTATATTCTCAGCTAAGATGGGTTTGGCTCTGACACTCGTCTCCATTCTCATCTTCTTTAAGCTCCCAGGATCAGAGCTCAGCAACCACTACCTCTGGGCAATTCTGACAATAGTTGTTGTCTTCGAGTTCAGCATAGGTAAATATGCAACATGGTTAACAACATTGTGACAAATACAATACCTGATGTGAAAGTGAAACCATCTCTTTATTTGTGTAGGAGCCACGTTTAGCAAAGGATGTAACCGGGGACTAGGAACGTTATCCGCAGGAGCATTGGCGCTTGGCATGGCTGAGATATCTGCATTGACTGGAAAGTGGGCAGAGGTTTTCAACTCTGTTAGCATCTTCGTAGTAGGTATATATAAAAACATCAATGGTCAAACATAAAAGCTTTCACAGCTTTGAAACTCGCTCTGATCTCTAACAATAGTGTGTCCCTTTGTATCAGCCTTTTTTGGGACTTATGCAAAGCTATACCCAACGATGAAGCCGTATGAGTACGGATTCAGAGTGTTCTTGCTGACATATTGCTACGTAATAGTGTCGGGATACAGAACAGGGGAATTCATGGAAACAGCTGTGTCAAGGTTCCTTATGATAGCACTTGGTGGCGGCATTGGTCTCCTTGTCAACACTTGCATTTACCCCATATGGGCTGGGGATGATCTCCACAACTTGATCGCAAAGAACTTTGTGAATGTCGCCACTTCTTTGGAAGGTCTATTACTCTCTCTGAAAACCTTTCTCTGAATCTTTGACAAAATCCAGTTCCTTTATGCAGGTTGTGTGAATGCATATCTCAACTGCGTAGCATACGACACAATCCCATCGAAGATGCTAGTCTACGAAGCTGTCACGGACGATCCAGTCTACAGTGGCTACAGATCAGCCGTTCAATCAACAAGCCAAGAAGACACTCTGGTAAACATTTCCTCTTCACTCATCAACTTAAATAAAAACCTCACATCTTTATCTCCTCTCTGTGAAGATGGGGTTTGCAACATGGGAGCCACCACACGGTCCATACAGATCCTTCAGATACCCATGGAAGATGTACGTTAAAGTAGGTGGCGCATTGAGACACTGCGCATTCATGGTCATGGCTTTACATGGATGCATTCTCTCAGAGATTCAGGTACATTATCTTGCTCCCCCTTCCCTAACTAAAAACACTAATAACAGCCCAATGGTCTTGAGGGTGCTTCGGCCCCAATACAGATCCCCGGGTTCGAATCCTGCTAGCTACTGGGGTTAAAATTTAACATCCGTGCTTCCTCCAGTGTCCCTGACTAGTCTAAATTCAATTTGGTGGGGCCAGGATATACGTGATTATTCAAAAAAAAAAAAACTAAAAAAACTAAAAAGAGTATATGTGGGGTTAAAATTTAACATCTGGACTCTCCCCCAGTGTCCCCGGCTAGTCTAGATTTAACTTGGTGGAACTCTCCCCCAGTGTCTCCGGCTAGTCTGAATCCAACTTGGTGAGGTCAGGATACACCTGGTTATTAAGAAAAAAACTAAAAAGAGTATTATACATTGTAACGCAGGCTGCAGAGGAGAAACGAAGCGTGTTCCGTAACGAGCTACAAAGAGTAGGCATCGAAGGAGCGAAGGTACTAAGATTCATAGGAGAGAAGCTAAAGAAAATGGAGAGACTAAACCCTATAGAAGACATCCTCCACGAGATCCACCAAGCAGCGGAAGAACTCCAAAGCAAAATCGACAAAAAGTCGTATCTCCTCGTAAACGCGGAGACATGGGAGATAGGGAACCGATCGAAAGATCTAACCGACGACGATCTCAAAAACCTAGACGAGGACGTCACTCGGATCCTGGAGCATAAGTCGCAGAGCGAAGCCACGATTCGTCCGCCTAAGAGCTGGGATGTGGTTTCGAATCAGGCGACGTTGGGGACGGTACAGAGCCAGAGGACGGTGATGATACAGAAACAGCCGTCGTGGCCGAGTCGTTTCTCGTTGACGCCGGGGAGCGGGTTGATTCCACCGGGAGGAGAGGAGGAGGCGCAGCAGATGTATAGGAGAGCGAGTGATTTGTCGTTAGCGACGTTCGCTTCGTTGTTGATTGAGTTCGTGGCGAGGCTGGAGAATCTGGTGAATGCGTATGATGAGTTGTGTGAGATTGCGAATTTCAAAGAGGCGGTTATTGCGTGATGAGTGTGTGTTACGGAACCTCGACTCGAAATAATGGCTTGAACGCGGTCGTTTGTATCTTTAATAATAAAGTTGGTTTTTTTTCTCTCCATGGGGGAAAAAATTCCACGTGTCCTTTTTTAGTTTTGGGCCAGATTCATGGCTTTGTTGAAGTGAGATTTGATTGGACTTTATGATATCTTAGGGTTCTGCGTCGTCTTCTTTCTCTGTGTGTTTGACCGGCGAAAGTTAACCTTTCTTTTACACTTTGAAACGAAGATGAACGGGAACTCTCATCACTAACTACAGAAACGAAGACGGAGATCTCGAATGTGGTTGCAGTGCTTCTCATCAGTAACTACAGAATGATCATCATCAACAACACTCTCTGGCTTACTTAAAACTTCATCATAGTCAGGTTTTAGGTCTGCACGTTTTGCTTCTATATCCAATTGTCAGTCTTTGGAAACCAAACCGTACATTTACTGTTTCGCCCACTTAACACAAGCTTCTGCTTGTGCAGCTCTAAGTGTCTATCAAGTTCTTTTTTTTGCTTAAGGTGAATACCACTAAAGGTGCAGAGATGTAAAAGGTCATCAAAGAGTCTACTAATCGTGCCTGTCAAGTTCTTTCTTTTGTTTAAGGTGAACACCATTAAAGGTGAAAAGATGTAAAAGGTCATCAAAGAGACTACTGATCACCACAGGGTGGAGTTCACAGATTCTGAATGTGGTCTGGTGGGTGCTCTCTAGAATTGTGTTGTATCAGCTGAAGTTTATTAGCTTGGTGGAGCTTCTTGGTTGTGATAGATCTGTGAGATCTAGAAGAAACAAAGAGTTAGTTGATCAATTTCATGCTCTCTTTTTGAAGAGTTGTTGCTCCTTATTTGCCCAGCTACTTCCATCTAATGGAACATGAAGATAACGGTTGAGTTATCCTCAATGTGGACTAAGAGTCTTTCTTTGAACATATCTATCCTTTACTTTAAAATAATGAGGTCTACCATTTTGAATCTTGCTCTTGAAGTGTGTTGGTTCAAGCTATTGTTGTACGCCTGCAAACCACATTGCAATTAAACTATAGAGGATATATTCAATATGGCCAAGAAGATTAACAAAATGTGATGTTGGTGCAATCCTTTCAAAGTTAAGTGTGGCTCATATCCATTTTTGCATATCAAAGATGGATACATGATACATCACCAGCTATCAAAAGATGCATACTATGAGATAGCGAGCTTATTTGTGTTTTTAAACAGAAATTATTTGTGTTTTCAAACACACATGGTAACATGGAGACTGGAGAGAGAGAACATATTTTGAAGGAACACAGATCATGATTACGTATGTTTCTCCAATGGTGATTAATAAGGAAATGTTTGGCAAACTCAATAATCAATTATATTAATTTCTTAAAAAACCAAATCAAGTTTTGACAAACTAACAGCCGTCACCTACTAGCCTTGATTTTCTCTAAGGCTTTAAGCATAGAGGTTTTCTGCTTTTTCCATAACCACTAAGAAGAAAAAATCAAAAGAACATTCAGCATCAGGTCTTTGAACAAGAAAAAGAGAGTAAAATTGATTATAAAGGACACTGGCGAGTCTTTAAAGAACCATTCAAGGAGAATATGTAGAAGCCGTGACTCCCAAATGTGGGCCTGAGAGGGCGTTTTCTTGCTAGAGGAACTCCGCCCTGGAGCATTAGAAAGTGGAAACCATAACAATGATCTCTAACTATTTACTTCTGTGATCATGAGTGAAAAGCGAGAGGTGGAGAGGACGTAGCTACAACCAACATGAGTTTAAAACTTATGCTTCTTCATTACTATGTTGTACACCTGAAGTTCTACTTTTTTTTTCATAAGTTCTACTTACATTTAGATAAAAGAACTAGAAGTGAACAAAACACGTCGAACAATAATCCAATGGCTTCATATTTCTAAATTCGGTAATTTGTTTTGGATGATAGTTTAAAGGTTTTGATTTGTATTTTCTTTTAATGAAATCTAGAGACCTTCAAAGTTAATACATCGATATCATAAGAGAAGATGATGCTCATATAGTATTCAGGTATATGAGTGTATCCATTGGAGCAAGTGATTTTCTCATGATAGTGTTTATATAAGTGGGTCAACACTTCGTGACTTATGCATATGGGTTGTTCATTTTTTTTTTTTTTTTTTGTAACAACATATGGGTTGTTCATACTACCAAAATTCGGTAGAGATTTGGGTCTCAGAACAATAATAACAAAATCCATAGTTATCTTATATGCTTTATTATTCTTAAAATTTTTGGTTTATTGGTCCAACATTACGTATACCTATTCTACATATACGAAAACAAAATAAAGAGGTGAAAACTTTTTTTTAACAAAAAAAAGGGTGAAAACTTATCATACACAAAGTACTCAGCCGACACTTTCAAGACATGAGCTTCCATAGGAACAAGTTTAATTTAGAACACGTTTTAAAACAATCCCACACTAACTACTTTGTGGGCCTTTTGTCTTTAACCTAAAGCCTAATATGGGTCACTCACATTGCTGAGCCTCGACATCTTCAGGTCATCTGCAGATGGGGCAAGATGAGGAAACCCTCTATATACAGTTTGGGTCAAAGACGTTAAGTTGTTGTAGCGATTTAACAGAAGATTCAGAGCAAGGAAGAAGGAAAAATGAAAAATGATAACTTTAACTGCAATTCTACGCACAGCTATATATACAATTAGCCAAAAAATTAACTTTTACAATCAATTCAACAACAAATTTCAAAGACACATGACATCTTACAACGAAATCGTCTAACCTAAAATTCTAAGTGTACATCCCCACTTAGCAACCTAAAATTAACAACCATAATCACACATTGTGACAATACTAAAAGTAAGTTCAATTACGTACACAAGCATCACAGACACAAAAAGAACAAAACACTAACAACAAAGACTTACACAAACAGATACCACACAAGACCATAGAAAAATCTAATATCGTCCCTTTGTTTTGGATTTTTTATGTTTTAGCCCCACGACTTTTATTTCCTTTTGAGTTATCTTTAGTTGACGCTTGAGACCAAAGAGAACGAATCAAATCCTGTCGGAAAGATGAACTAAAACCCTAAATTCAAAGCAGAATAAAAAAACAATGAAAGCTGCTGTCTTTCCGTCTAAAATCGCGAATCTAGGCCTCCCTTCTTCTGGCCGTTTCCCACTATTCTTCCGATCACCGGCATTGTTTTCCTCGATTACTACAACTCCTTGTCGGAAGCTGACAAGAGGAATAAGGGGTAGTGAAGGCTTCATGTCTCAATCATCTTCATCTTCTCAATTGTTTTCTTCCTTATCGAATTCATTCTCCTCTCAACCGGAATCGGAGTTACCTCAACAAGTTCAGTTACCTTCTCCGAAGCCAAAATCTCCGCCACCACAGCTCCCATGGCTTATAGTTGGTTTGGGGAATCCTGGGAAAAAGTTCCAGGGCACTCGTCATAACGTATCTCTCTCTCTTTAAGCTGCATCTTCCCTTTATGCTCTCCTTTTTGAGCTTGCTAATGTTTTTGTTTATGGCAGATTGGTTTTGAGATGGTGGACGCTTTGGCTGAAGCAGAAGGGATACCTATGAACACTGTTAACTTCAAGGCCTTGTTTGGCAAAGGTTCCCTTTTATTTTTATGCTCCATTGTGAAATTTCATCTTTTACTTTTCTCAAAGTAAGAATTTTTATACGTCTCTAATGATTGATGAGTGGAATTGAATTTCAAACCATGGTTAGCTGTATAACATATTTATGTTCATTAACTAGTAGCTTCCTATTGTTTTAGCAGAGAGATTGAAACAGCCTTGCTTTTGTGTTTGGATTGTTTCTAACTTTGGTTATTGGTTTGTCTATCATAGGCGTTATTGGGAACATACCGATTATGTTGGCGAAACCTCAAACTTTCATGAACGCCAGTGGTGAGTCTGTAAGTGAGCTCATCGGAATGAACCGATCTCTCTATTTATCATCTCTTGTAATTTTATTATTTTTGATTATGATTTGATTGAATTGTTTGAAGGTTGGACAAATTGTTTCCTTTTACAAGATCCCTCTAAAGCAAGTACTTGTGGTGTGCATTATCTTCTCTTTGTTTCGTTGTCCAAATTATGGATTAAGAGTTCATTATGCTGCTGTCTTATAGAACTTTCTGTATCTCTTACAGGTATACGATGATTTAGATTTGCCCTTTGGTAAACTGCGATTATTACCAAAAGGTGGTCACGGAGGGCACAATGGGTACATAGCTTTCCAGTCTATATATCTTTACCTGTTTCTAGATGTTTTTACTAGTCTTAAGTACTATTGTCTTAAACATTTCAAGTTGAAGAGAAACTCTTGAAGCTGTTTTGGTGAAACTGCATTGATGAAATGATTCTGGTCATTCACTTGCAGGATGAGAAGCATTATAGACCGCCTAAAAGGGAGCCGTGATTTTCCCCGTCTAAGAATAGGTAAAGTTTTCATTTTTCATCCACTTCCACATACATAGCCACAGTCCTTGTTCTCTTCTTAGGGTTTTGCAAAAATCGTTGTATGTTTCATTTCTCAGGGATTGGACGACCTCCAGGGAAGATGGATACAGCCAATTATGTTCTTCGCCAGTTTAATAAGCAAGAGCAGGAAGAGGTATAGCCCAACAAATCCCAACACTTACCTCAACGTTTTAGATAGATAAAAAATAAGTAAGATTGTTTCTGGTGTTTGCAGTTGGATTATACATTTCAAACAGGGTTAGAGGCAATAAGGATCATGCTTCTTGAAGGGTTCAACAAAAGTGCAACCTTTGTCAACACTCAAAAATCTATGCAACAACTCGGTTGAAAAAAAAAACAGATTGTTCATCACATTTGAAGAGCTACAGAGATTTACCGATTCATTATTAGAAAAACCTCAATTCATATTCCCCTTTGAGCAAATTGTATATCACAAGAAAACCAAAAAAATTATTAGCTTTGACATACTGTAATTTGCTCCTGATTATAATAAAATTTTAATAATAAAGTATATCATCAAAAAAGTGCAACCTTGTTTTGTTAAGACAAAATAAAATAAAGTTCTGGTTCTGTAATATTCAATTTATACCTACCTTTCGAAAGAGGACTTATTCAGTGAGCGGATTCGACTCTATTCTATTTTCTCTAGATTGAGCTCAGTACTCAAATCCGACCCATTTCTGTTGACAAACCCTCCGACAAGTTCTCCGGCAACTATGTACGGCGGAGGTGAGTTTCTCTCTCCCTGAACCCTAGAATTACTTTCTCGCTCGTCTTTTTCCCCATCTCTGAGGATATTTTCGTTACAAAGTCTGAATCTTTCGGTGTTGGGTTTAACAGATGAAGTGTCAGCTATAGTGGTTGACTTGGGTTCTCACACTTGCAAAGCTGGTTACGCCGGCGAAGATGCTCCCAAAGCCGTCTTCCCCTCCGTAAAGCTCCCTCCTTTATTGTCTTGCTTCTAGCATTTTGAAAGCTTCTATGGCTCTTATGATAGATTTGCGATGAATTACAATTTAGGTTTTTTTTTTCTTTCTCATGTGTTGTTTATAAGGTTGTTGGGGCGGTTGATGGGATTGAGGCAATGGATGTGGATGTTGAGTCTGCGAAGGGAAACTCAAATTCTGAGGATTCAAAGACCAACGAGTCTGAAAAGGAAAAGGGGAAACGTAAGCTTTATGTGGGATCTCAGGCCTTGAATTACAGACGGGATCATATGGAGGTTTTTATTAGCTTTCTCCTCTTTTTGATTAATGTTTATAATTGTGAAGTTGTTAGTGAACTATGAGTTGTATTTTCTGTCACTAGATATTGTCACCTATCAAAGATGGTGTAGTTTCTGATTGGGATTTGGTGGACAATATATGGGACCATGCTTTCAGGTAAGGAATATTAAGCATTTTGTTTTTTTTCTTAGTTGTTGTTTGATGTCATCTCTAAAATATTTTTATGGTCTGAAGGGGTTGTCTGATGATTGATCCTAAGGAGCATCCCATGCTGCTAGCTGAGCCTCCTCTAAACACCCAACAACAGAGAGAGAAGTCCGATTAATTTTTATTATAGATATTCGTTTTCTACATCGATGTATCTTAGAGTTTGTTACTGATTTTCTCCAATCATTTTTCTTGACAGGGCGGCAGAGCTGATGTTTGAAAAATACAAAGTTCCAGCATTGTTTATGGCTAAGAATCCTGTAAGTTTCCTCTACCTTGGGTCATTAGTCTTCTGCCTTCCTCTTGTGAAACCAGATCTCTAATTATCTACATGACTTTTGGCGTTTTTGGTGCTAGGTTCTCACGTCTTTTGCTACTGGGCGTGCTACTTCACTGGTTGTGGACTGGTAATACTTTTGTACTTTCAAAATTATTGAACTTTTCTTTAGTATGTGAATGCTTCCACTTCTGTCGTATCTGCTGTGAATGTTTACCTTGTTTCTGGCTGATGTGTTCCAGCGGTGGAGGATCCACAACTATATCACCGGTGCATGAAGGTTATGTCCTACAAAAGGTTTGTCAAGACTCATGTTTTGTGATGTTGTTTCCTTTGGTTTAAAGCGAAGTGTCATATGCAACTAACATAAATTCACATCCATGTGTATAACGACCAGTTTTACTTTACAGCATTTATGTAGATTGTACAACTTATTTCTTATCATCCGATTGTTAACCATGCTTTTATTCGCAGGCGGTTGTATCAGCTCCAATTGGAGGGGAATTTCTCACTGACTGCTTACTGAAAAGCTTGGAGAGTAAAGGAATCAAAGTAAGTTAAACTATTTTTACACTGTTCTCTATCTTTTGAGCAATTTTACCTGAGTTTTGCTGGCCATTTCTTTTACAGGTAAGACCTAGATACTCTTTCAAGAGAAAGGAAGTACGACCAGGGGAATTCCAGGTTCGTTTGTGGATCTGTGGATGAAACTACTATTTGAGTATTATTTATTTTTTGCGAGAGAAAACGAGAGAGGGATTTGAAAATTGATTTTGTGTTCTCGACATGGTATATTTGATGTTTTTAGTGAGCAATGACAAAGCAACTGTATGGTTTGTCTCGATCCAATTAGGATAGTTGACATTAGCAAATTGCTTAGAGGTTTTTTTCTTATCGTTGGAGTGTAATATTCTCTTATTTCATCCCTTCGGATCCTTGCAGGTTGAAGATGTAGGTGTTCCTGACACCACGGAAAGCTACAAGCTCTTCTGTCAGGTCAGTAATTGGTAATGACACCTCGTATGAATTTTTTTGTTGTTTTATAACTTAATGGGGTTTTTACTTAACAGAGGATGATAGTGGGTGATATCAAGGATTCTATTTGTCGGGTTCCTGATACTCCTTATGACGGTATGTTATAATTCTTCTGTCTTCCTTGGTCAATTTGTTTTTCTTCAAAGTTATAGTGGTTTAAGAGTTGAATGCTAGGTACATTTTTAACTTCAATGATCTTGTAGCCTTAGATTACCTGATGTGATGCTTTTATCTGCAGATAAATCATATGCAAACATCCCAACTACGTCTTACGAGCTCCCTGATGGCCAGTAAGCTCCAATTTATTTGTCTAATGCGATTTCTTTGTGCTTCATATCTATATGCTATAGTTACTGTTGCTTTCCATGTTAAAGATTTATGGTTAGTTTCTAGAGAAAACTTGCCACTATTTTGAACCTTGTTTAATCTGAAATTAAGTTCTTAGCTGGATCTAAGTCGTTAAAGCGGTTAGAATAAAAGTTTAGAAGCGTCAGACTTTGCTTTTGGAAACCTGCATGGAATCTGAATCTAATGTAATAATTAAGATTCAGGTAGATCAAGAAAAGTATAAGCTTTGACGACGATAGGAAGCTTAACAACTGCTTTTCTAAAGTCTTTTGCGATGTTATATTAAGCATGTCTATTGCAGGACGCTGGAGATTGGTGCTGATAGGTTCAAAATTCCTGATGTGCTGTTCAACCCGTCTATAGTTCAGGTACCAAAACCCGGCACCATTTAAGCTATGGATTGTGTCTTCTCTTGAACTCTTTTAAGCGTCAAATTGCAAGTCAAAGATCTTATAAAGTGACTCCGTGTTCAAATTGCTAGACAATTCCTGGAATGGAGAAGTATGCAGACATGATTCCTTCTGTTCGTGGGCTGCCACACATGGTATATGCATAGTCTCTAGTCACTGCAATTCTTTCGCCTCTTTACTGTGTAACTCCACTCTCCATTTCATTAACTTGTACAGGTCATGGAGAGTATCAACAAATGTGATGTGGATATCCGGAGAGAGTTGTATAGTAGCGTACTGGTAATATAACAATCAACAAACACAACTATGCATCAACAGTTCCTTTAGTTTTCTTGGAAGTGGATGATTCATTCTTTTCTTGTTATGGCAGCTTGCTGGTGGCACATCATCAATGCAACAATTGAAAGAGCGTCTCGAAAAGGACTTGATAGAAGTAATATACCCTCTCTCTTTTCTTCTCTCGCTTGTAAACATTCCTTGGTTTCGAAAATGGTTCATCATCTGCTATCTTTCGTTTCAGGAATCTCCTCACTCGGCTCGAGTTAAAGTGTTGGCAAGCGGTAACACAACAGAAAGAAGATTCAGGTTGGATATCTAGTTTCACTTCTTCCTCTACATTTCATTGCTTAATACAATACTAAGAGTTCCCCAGATCATTGATTAATACTTGCTGCGAACTCCATATCCTGCAATTTTACTGACCATGGATCTGAGTAATTTAAACCCTGAAAATGTGATGTTATGTGTTATGTATATGTGCAGTGTATGGATAGGAGGGAGTATATTGGCATCGCTGGGCTCATTTCAACAGATGTGGTTCTCCAAATCTGAGTAAGTGCCTCCTGTTTTGCGTCTTCCCACTGATGACAGACTCGTAAACTAGAAACTGATTTTTAATTTCTCTGGTGACACATGAAGGTATGAGGAACATGGCGCTTCGTACATTCAGAGAAAGTGCCCTTAAATCAGCTTCTGATTCTGTTGAACCTTAGAAGACAAAACATGAAAACTAAGTTGATGTGTTATTTTCATGGTGTTGTTCTTACTATTTTTCACCTTACCTTTATTGCGTGTAGACATTAACAAACATTTCAATTTCTATGTGCTATCTATTAAAAAACTATTTAGTGGTGGATAAAAAGGCAATGGAAAAACATGGAAGTAATTCAAGCCGTGGACTCATGGAAGCAGAACTTGATGAACTAAAGTTATTACACCCAAAAATATATAATACAAAAAGAGAAGCAGATATTATACAAACTTGCCATGTTACTGCTTAAGTACGTAAGAGATTATATGTATGAGCTTTTCTACAACTACAAATCCTAATCTCGAGCATGGGCCAAAGTTAGACACAGTCAAACGTCGTATACTGGTAGTCGTTCTTCAATGGCTACACGACATATCGGACACTTTGTACACTTGTCTGAACAGATTCTGCAAAACCAACAAAATGGCACAGAAACAATTTATGAACATGACAACTGAGTCAGCTACGGCCGGATACGCTTTCTAGTCTGTCCATTAAGTTTTCTTGTATGACCTCATAGATTCCTAGTTTCTTCATATAGTATTTCCAGACGAATCAAGTGTTATATCAACCTTGTGTAACTGTAATATGGATTGATTATCATACCTGCAGAGAACACGATGTCTACATGGAAGCAGTACCAAACTTATTTCCTTTTCAAAGCAAACCCTACACAGAATTTTCTCCTGGAGTAAAGACACATTTGGAACAGGATTAGGCCAAAGAGGAATCAAATATCAATAGAAAGTTTTAAAAAGCTAATACAAAACCATCACGGCCAATGAAGGATGATGCACAGCAGCATGGATGGAGAAAATTTACATTTTGCAGTCTTTCATATTCTTGCTGACTGAATTTTGTAATTTCGGTTTGTTCACCAAGAGCAGCTTGAAGTCTCCATACCTGCAGGGCATCAATTATGATCGAATGTGATCAAGAGTTAAAGTTGTACAAGACACACAATACTCGAGAAGTAAAGTAACCTCTTCAGCAAGATCTTCCTTTGGCATTTTCTTGACTATCTCAGGCGGATGACCACTGAAGGTATTGTAACTGCACACACATAATTTATCATGCATCTTCAGTAAGTCCATTAACAGTTTTTGTTAGACCATAAAGAAGAAGGTTAGATTATACTAACTCACCCAGATTCTTGATCAATGTATAGTCGTCGAGCTTGTTCCTCCCGGCTTCCTTCATCAATCGACCACCAACCTAATAGCCTGAACAAATAAGAGCATCATTTGAATTTTGTTAGTATATACAGTTTGTAAATCAAACCATTTTGATGAAATAGACAAACGTGTTTGTCACCTGGAACCATGGTGCAAGAAACCCAAGCATTCATGTGCTCTTGATGAAAATCTAAAATACAATCCTGGACCAGCTTCCCCTCGTAGTAAGACGACAATCTTCTCTATTAGTTTAGATGTAGCAAAGAGAACACCAAGGCCTTGCAACAGGAATATTGGAGAAAACAAGACGGGGATGGATATATCTTTAGCTCTTTCAGGAGTCCCCTGAAAGTCCAAACCATCAGAATTTTTGGTAATGCCCAAAGACAATATGGTATAATAGAAAGACATATAGTGTATACCTCTAAATGCATGCAAAGGATAACTTGAAATACAATGACGGGAATTTTCAACAGGTGACCACCAATATCTTGTAGACCACAGTATCTGTCTTGATGACTACTATCCTGTTCTGGAGCAACTATGAGACCACTGTTCCAGTCAAGATATCTAATTGGGGTAGAAGATGATGTCGTTTCTCGAGCGCGTGAACTTCTATGGATCACTGGGTTGGACCATTTTGTACAAACAAGAAAAGCAAAGGATTCGGCAATTCTGCAGGCAAAAGACTTTGACACATATTACCTTCATGATCATTTCTACCAACCGCAAAAATGATAACTAAAAAAAAGACAATGCATACCCAACATTTATAAATAAGTCCCACCAGCTGAGAGCAGGTACGTCCCCTGTGTATCACAAATAAAACAATGAGAGACTGATAAGAAGGAATGGAACACAATAACTCCACCAATAACATGATGTGTTTCCACAATAACAAAACTAATTAGGCAAGCATTTGGGAAACACAACATTACCAGTAAGCTTTAGGAGGGTAAAGAATGTAGCAGCCAAAGTGAACACCATTGAAATAGCAACCCAGAAATGCTGTAGGTACAAGATAAAAAAACATCTAAAATGTTTATATTCAGAACTGACGAGCTTCCCCTGACCATTTAACAGAAGATTTTTATAAAAATCCCAAGCTCTGTTTGTGAAAGCTGGAAGATTATAGAAAATGATCAAAAGGTTCTCCTTTCTCATTTCATGAATTGATAATCTCAGTACTAATAAGTTGTGTTATTGGAAAAGACCGTTTGCCAATCACGTGTGACAGATAGATCCTACCTATATACTAAAACAAATTGCATATTTAAACAAACATGAAGCCTCAAAATATTTACTGGACTTACAGGAAGTGCTTCCCATATTGCTTCATCGTTTATGCTGTCGTCATCTCCTGGCATCAATGCTCGACACATTCTGAAGATAAAGCTTGCAGTAGTTAGGAACTTCGTATTTATATTGATTCAGTTTGATATGTGTTAAAAAGACACATAAAAGTAATGCCTTCGTTTTAGAAGTTAGCAAACATAATACCTCAGATTGTCTATCAGTATCGTTACTTCAAATGCCAATAATGGCAAGGATGCAATCTTCAAACTCACAGCTGGTGGCCAGCTAGCTGCCATGTAAGATAGAATAGGTCACAATTCGATAAGAAAAATGAAAAAAAAAAACAATCCTCCAGACATAATGATCAAACTCATTTTTAAATGTCCTCCAAATTGATCTGTATTCTCCAAACTCAAACGCTAGCAAGAAAAAAACTATGCGAATCAGAGCCACCATTTTTGTTAAGTACCTACATATGTCAATCTGTTTGCTAGCTGAATGGAGAGGTTATTTACCATAAGAACTCTCGAGGTATATACAGAGGAGTAATTCAAACGCTACAAGCAAGGGTGTGGCGACAACAGCATGGCATGGAGCCCACTGTACACCAAAAGAATCATAAACATACTGGCAATGTTCATACGAAAGACTATTTGAGTAAATAGCTCGCTGAAAGAGGTAAGAAGAACATACATGACGGTTACGCGGAGCAACAGGAGCAGGAAGGGAGAACCTTCCTCTTGCAACAACAGCATGGAAGGCCCACAGTGGGAAAAACACCATCCTGTAGAACCCACAGAAACAGAAACTTATAAATCAAGTTTGTAACAAATAAGGAAATAGAGACATAACTGATAATGATGAGGCCTATAGTGAAAAGCTGAAACCCTACACAGAATAAAATCTCCCAAAGAAGACTTCATCTAGATAACATAAGTTTTGTTGCAATCATGTCACTGAAGCTCGTTTGGCCTCTTAATATATAAACTCAGTCACTAATAAACGCATACCTCTAAAGAGTTGTATACAGTCTTCGTTACAAAAATGCATGCATACATACATAAATTTCCAAAAAACTGTAAGGACTTAACTTTAGTAGAAACTATTGATGTGATTGCTTATTTTGTTTTTTTTTTTTTTTTAATTTACTCTAAGGGTGAATAAAGACAAGGAATCTGAAACTATTTTCAAACCTCTAAAAGAAACTGCTACACATGTGAACACAAAAAACTAAACTTTCCCTAGAAAGTGAACCAAAAAAAAAGACCTTCTTTCAATTCGAAATCAGATAAATCAGATATGATAGCAACAAAATAAACTGATTCTTGCATCGAATATCAGAGAATTGAGAGACTCAAGAGAGATAGAGAGACTAACCACCATGAGCAGGAGAGGGTGTGATCGAGCTTAAGAACGAGTAAGAGCGTGAAAGAGAAGAGTAAGCTATGAGCAGACAAGGCTTGTATCGACTTTAGCACTCTCCTACAACTCATCTCTCTCTCTTTTTTTGTCTCTCTAACGAAGAATCTCTGTTTTTGAATCCATCTCTGTTTCAAAGCTCTCTCTTTTATCTCTCTCTCTGTTTCTAAAGTAGATTTATTGGAGAAAACGTCATTCGAGAAACTGCTGCTCTGTTATTAATGGACCCCTCTCTCTCTCTCTCTCTGTTTCTTCTCCTTCCTCTCTGTTCCTCGTCGTTTTTATTATTAATATCACTTTCGTTAACTAATTACGTATTAATGATATGTTTCATATCGTAATGGACCACTCGGATTAAATGAGAAACAAGAGGTTATAAGGCCTGGATATTTCGGGTATCAGTTCGGGTTTCAGATAGTTTGAATAGGGAGTTAAAAGATCCATTTACAACTTAACCTATTTTTCGTTGGGTTCGGTTTGGATAGTTTCGGTTCGATTCAGTTTGGATAGTAAAACAAGGAACCAGAAAACACTTAGAAAATTTGGTTCTCATTTGGTTCCGGTTTGAGTTTGAGTAGTTCGGATAAATTATCGGTTAGTTAGGATAAAATATCAAATAATTAGAAAGATTTAGATACAAATTTGGTTATTTTGGATAAATTATATATAGTTCGGATATTCTATAATTATTTAGTTATCTTCAACTATTTTTGGATACATTTAATAAATTTTTAAATTAAAATCATATATTTACTTATGTTATATGTATATAAATTAATATTATTATATATTCGGGTATTCTTTCGGTTCTCGGTTCGGTTCCGGTTTGGTTCGGTTATTTTGAATATATATATAAGAACCGTTCGGATATTTAAGGGTCTCGGTTCAATTCCGATTTCGGATATTTCTTCGGTTCTGAGTTTTTTGCCCACACCTAAGGTCATTGTCAGGTTAAGTAATACCGCATTATCGTTTTTTAATTGATTCTGATAATTCCATGTTATTATAAAAAAATACTTTAAGAGGTGATTAAGGATTCTATAACCACATGTCTCTTAAAAATTACAAACACTATCGTTTTTTTAATTGATTTTGATAATCTCATGTTATTATTTAAAATACCTTAAAAAGTAATTAAGGATTCTGTAACCACATGTTTATAATTTGTTAAGTAAGGAAGTTAACCACACGTCTCTTAAAAATTACAAACACTTTAAGTTTATTTTTTAACCAATTGTTCTAAATACTTTATGCTTGGGAAGTCACGACCTATCAACAATCGATATTTTGGTGATTGCGATTTATGAAACAAACACAATTGCATTGACTTATGAGAATTGTAGCAATCCATTCCTTTCTACATGTGTGGGGTAAATAAATTTCATTGATCTCACGTCACAAATAAATACCACGACCAGTCTACAAACTGAGAATAAACTAATACTGCTACAACAACGACCTTCATAACTGGAGATTATCAAACAATAACAGTGAAGCATTAACAGTGCTAAGAAAGTATAAAAAATGGCTGCAATGATACAACTTACACAACTTATGTTTCACTATTGTTGACATCTTAAGTATTAAGGGAACGCAGCTCTCCTATAAATTTTGTATGGGGTTGGGTATGTTTGTTATTTACTTATTTTAAATAAACATAGTGAAACTCTCAGAGACAATTGTTGTTTAAACAAGCCTAAGTAGTTGTTCCTAAGTAGTTTGCTCTCATGAGTCATGGTACGTACATTTTTGCTATATAACATTTCAAAATTCGTAAAATGCTTTATCAAGAACCATAATATATATTTGTGGTGGTTTACAAACTAATGTACTTTCTCTATCAGAGAGTTTTTTGCTAGTTCCAAAAACTAATCCAACTATGAAGTTGAAGACCGTCCATAACAAAAAGTTGACAGCAAAGGAATACCTCACAAGAAAAACCCCAAACAACTTTGGCAGATCCAAGCCCAATCGCTAAATGAAGCAATCTACATAGCCCAACAAAATACATAATTACATCTTAGCTTGACCTATCTCTCTAATTATCTCATTAACATATATTTTTTTAAAAATAAGTATAGGCCTGGGCGTTCGTGACCCCGTCGAATTCGGTTCAGTTGTTTTTGGTTTTCGGATTTTCGGTACCATTCGGATTTTTCTAATTATCGGGTCGGGTTCAGTTCGAGATTGGGTTATAACCAATGTATAAAATCGTTCAAAAATATTTTTTAAATTTTAAAAAATTAAAAAAATACTCAAAAAATATTTAAATTATTCAGAAAACTAACTAAAAACAAGTCAAACTATATAAATTAGTTAAAAGTTATTCAAAATAATAAATAAAATAAACTATTAAAAATTTAAAATATTCTAAAACATCTAAATTTCTTTAATATATATAAAAATAGTAACATATTTCACTAATTTCAGATATAGTCGGATCCATTTCGGTTCGGTTCGGGTTATACCCATACTCCAAAATACCAAGTTCTCAAGTCCCATTCGGATATTCTTATATAACGGTTCGGATCCAATTTCGTTTTTTTCGGTACGGATTACGGTAGGGAGTTTGATATTGGGTAAAAACGCCCAGGACTAAATAAGTAGTTATCGGAAACTACCTTGTGATTGGTTTTTAAGACAAGAGCTGTTCTTACACAACAAACAAAGCGCATTGTTCTTCTTGTCCGCCGTCCTGAAATGTCAACCAGCGAAAAAAACCAAACCGGAATCTGCAAAAACGTTCCGAATCTCATCTCCTCCTTCGTCGACACCTTCGTAGACCACTCCTTCTCCGGCATCTTCTCCTCACCCCATCCCACTCCACTCAACGAGTCTCCTCCTCCACAAACTCGTTTCGAGAAACCAGACCGTCTCGTCGCCATCGGCGACCTCCACGGCGACCTCAACAAGTCCAAGGAAGCCTTCCGTATCGCCGGCTTGATCGATTCCTCTGACCGATGGACAGGCGGATCCACCGTGGTTGTTCAAGTCGGCGACGTGCTCGATCGAGGCGGAGATGAGCTGAAGATACTGTTTTTCCTAGAGAGGTTGAAGCGTGAGGCGGAGAGAGCAGGAGGTAAGGTTGTGACTATGAACGGGAACCATGAGATTATGAATGTTGAAGGTGACTTTAGGTTTGTTACTAAGGAAGGTTTGGAGGAGTTTAAAGTTTGGTCTGATTGGTATTGTTTAGGGAACAAGATGAAGAGTTTGTGTAATGGTTTGGAGAAAGTTAAAGATCCTTACGAAGGGATTCCCACGAGCTTCCCTCGTGCTAAACCAGAGTGTTTTGAAGGGATTAGAGCTAGGATTGCTGCGTTGAGACCAGAAGGTCCGATTGCGAAGAGATTCTTGTCTAAGAACCAGACAGTTGCTGTTGTTGGAGACTCTGTGTTTGTTCACGGTGGTCTTTTAGCTGAGCATGTTGAGTATGGACTTGAGAGGATTAACGAGGAGGTTAGTAGTTGGATTGATGGGTTTAGAGGTGGGAGATATGCGCCGGGTTATTGTAGAGGAGGGGACTCTGTTGTTTGGTTGAGGAAATTTTCTGATGAGAGGCCTTATAAGTGTGATTGTGCAGCTCTTGAACATGCTCTTTCCACTATTCCTGGGGTTAAGAGGATGATCATGGGACATACGATTCAGGAGAGTGGGATTAATGGGGTTTGTGATGATAAAGCTATTAGGATTGATGTTGGTATGTCCAAGGGATGTACTGATGGTTTGCCTGAGGTTTTGGAGATAAGGAAGGACTCTGGTGTGCGGATTGTGACTTCTAATCCATTGTATAAGGAGAAGCATGACAGTAAAACGGGTCTGGGTTTGCTGGTACCAGTTGAACATGTTCCTAAACAAGTTGAAGTCAAAGCTTAAAGACCTTGAAGTTTAGACAATGTTTAGATGATTGTTTGGGCAATGTTGGTAGCAAATATAGGGAAGTATTTGTTCAAATATTGTATCTGATTCAATACATTTGCTAAGGTTCTCTAATCTATGATTGTTTTGACGTCTCTTCTACTCAAAAAGAGTGATTAACCTCCATTCTTGGCGTGTTTGGTAAGTAATGTAATCAGTTCACTTTCAGACAAGAAAACCAAACATACGCTTAGTTCTGTCTCAATTAAATTCTGACTACACACGTGTTCAGTTCGGATAAGGAAACTTATCTGATGGCTTATCTTCTGCAGCCACTCCCACAGCTTTCCACTTTGTTCGACTCTCGCCGGAGCTATAAAAAGACGACCATTCCTCGCGCCGTCGCCGTTTCTTCCACTTCAACCAATGGCCAGCATTTCCTTCGTCAGGTTTCCGGTTTATGTGAAACCGGAAACCTCCACGAGTCCTTTCTGGTCGTGGAGGAGTTTGACAGAGAGGAGAAATCATCATCTGGTGCGTTTCTTATTCTCAGAGAAGCTCTAGGGCTTCTCTTACAAGCTTCTGGTAGGAGAAAAGACATTCAATTGGGGAGAAAGATCCACCAGCTGGTTTCTAAGTCTTCTCAGTTAAGTAACAACGATGTTCTCTGCACACGTGTTATCACCATGTACTCCATGTGTGGCTTTCCTGATGATTCTCGGTCTGCTTTTGATGCCTTGCCTAAGAAGAATCTCTTCCAGTGGAACGCTGTTATCAGCTCCTACTCTAGAAACGAGCTTTACCACAATGTGTTAGAGATGTTTATCAAGATGATCACAGAGAGTGGTCTTTTACCGGATAACTTCACTTTCCCATGTGTGGTTAAGGCTTGTGCTGGGGTTTCTGAAGTCCGGCTCGGGCTTGCGGTTCATGGGTTGGTAGTAAAGACCAGATTAGTAGAGGACGTTTTTGTGAGTAACGCATTGGTGTCTTTCTATGGAACACATGGTTTTGTTTCTGACGCCGTGAAGATCTTTGCAATGATGTCTGAGAGAAACTTGGTGTCGTGGAACTCAATGATTCGAGTGTTCTCTGACAATGGTTTCTCGGAAGAAAGTTTCTTGCTTCTTGGAGAAATGATGGAGGAAGGCAATGATGATGGTGAGTTTCTGCCGGATGTTGCTACACTCGCTACAGTGTTACCGGTTTGTGCGAGGGAAAGAGAGATAGGAGTAGGAAAAGGTGTTCATGGGTTGGCGGTGAAACTGAGTTTGGAGAAAGAACTTGTCGTTAACAATGCCTTAACGGACATGTACTCCAAATGTGGTTGCATAAACGATGCACAAGTTATCTTTAATTTAAACAATAACAAGAATGTGGTTTCTTGGAATACAATGATAGGAGGTTTCTCAGCAGTGGGGGATACTCATGGGACTTTTGATCTTCTCAGACAGATGCTAGCAGGAAGGGGAGATGTTAGAGCAGATGAGGTAACCATTCTAAATGTAGTTCCAGTTTGTTTCGATGAATCAGTCTTACCGAGTTTAAAGGAACTTCATTGTTACTCCTTGAAACAAGAGTTTGTACATAATGAGTTAGTAGCCAATGCCTTTGTCGCTTCTTACGCAAAGTGTGGCTCACTGAGTTATGCACACCGTGTGTTTTGTAGAATAAGGAGTAAAACAGTAAATTCTTGGAATGCTTTGATTGGTGGCAGTGATCCTAGGTTTTCCTTGGATGCCTATTATCAGATGAAAAATTCTGGATTGCTACCTGATGTGTTCACTCTTTGTAGTCTTCTTTCAGCTTGTTCTCAGCTAAAATCCTTGCGGTTGGGGAAGGAAGTGCATGGGTTTATAATCCGTAATCGGTTAGAAAGAGATTCGTTTGTTCATACAGCGTTACTCTCACTTTATATTCATTGTGGGGAGCTAAGCACTGCACATGTGTTATTTGCAGCAATGGAAGATAAAACCTTAGTATCTTGGAACACTATGGTCAATGGTTACCTTCAGAATGGGTTTCCTGAGAGAGCTTTGAGTCTCCTTAGACAAATGGTTTTGCATGGAGTCCAACCTTGTGAGATCTCTATGATGAGTGTGTTTGGTGCGTGTTCGCTGATACCGTCTCTTCGATTAGGAAGAGAAGCGCATGGTTACGCTTTAAAGCGCCTCCTCAAGGACAATGCGTTTATTGCTTGTTCAATGATTGATATGTATGCCAAGAATGGTTCTGTAACGCAATCATTTAAGGTTTTTAACGGTTTGAAAGAGAGAAGTGGGGCGTCATGGAATGCCATGATAATGGGATATGGAATACATGGGAGAGGGAAAGAGGCTATCCAACTATTTGAAGAGATGCAGAGAACAGGTCATAGTCCTGATGAGTTAACATTCTTAGGTGTTCTAACGGCTTGTAACCACAGTGGTCTGATCCATGAAGGGATGAGGTATCTGGATCAGATGAAGCACTCTTTTGGGATGAATCCAAATTTGAAGCATTATGCTTGTGTTATTGACATGTTAGGCCGAGCTGGGAAACTAGACAAGGCGTTAAAGATTGCCACAGAAGAGATGTCTGAGGAACCTGATGTTGGAATCTGGAACTCTCTGCTCAGCTCGTGCAGAATCCATCAGAATCTTGAAATGGGAGAGAAAATTGCTGCTAAGTTGTTTATATTAGAACCAGAGAGAACTGAGAATTATGTGCTGCTTTCCAACTTATATGCAGGATCAAGGAAATGGGATGAGGTGAGGCAAGTGAGGCAGAGAATGAAGGAGATGAGTTTAAGAAAGGATGCTGGATGCTCATGGATTGAACTTAACGGGAAGGTTTTTAGCTTTGTTGCTGGTGAAAGTTCCTCAGATGTTAAAAGTCATTGGAGTGTACTGGAGAGAGAAATATGGAAGATGGGATACAGACCAGACACAAGTTCAGTACAACATGAGCTTAGTGAAGAAGAGAAGATTGAACAGTTGAGGGGACATAGCGAGAAGCTTGCTATTACCTACGGGTTGATCAGAACTTCAGAAGGAACAACTCTTAGAGTTTACAAGAACCTAAGGATTTGTGTAGACTGCCACAATGCGGCTAAGTTAATCTCCAAGGCTATGGAAAGAGAGATAGTTGTGAGGGACAACAAAAGATTTCATCATTTCAAAAATGGGTTCTGTTCTTGTGGAGACTACTGGTAACTGGTGTTATATAATCAAATTGGTAAACACAGATCATCAGAACTTAGTTCTTGTACCAAGCCTTGATCATAGCTCTGCTGCTCTCTCCTGAGAGTTGATAAAATTTGGCTTATGGCTAGAGAAAGTAGAGAAAATTGGTTAGTTGTCTGAAGCTTCTTCGGTTGTGGAACTTGTTAAACTGCTCTGTCTTGATTTGTGCAAAGATCATTTAGAACATGTGCATCAACCAAAAACCAGTTGAGTACCCAACCTGTGAATAGAACTTTTTTTCTTCTTTATGTTTGTTACTTATTTGTGATAGAACATGTCATACATGTACGTTATGGTAAGTTTATGCTTGAAACTGATGGAACATTGGAACCCCAAATATAATTTATTACATAGTAAACTGAAACCTTTTTAAATGCAAAACAAGTTTCAAGTCTCTCATTACTTCACTATATATAAACTGTCTATGCACTTTAAACCCACATAGAAACTGCAAGAGAAGACAGAAGCAATGAAGGTTTCCACGAGCATCGTCGTTGTCCTCTTCTTTGCGACCTTGGTCGGCATCTCTAGAGCCTTATCCCATGAAACTTGCATAAGAAGAAACATCGACAGGTCGCAACCACCAATCTCTTCACTCGGAACCAAGACGGCATCAATATCTATCTCCTTTGCGGAAAAGCTATGCAGAGACATGGCTCGTTCAGTCATGTTCCATTTGAGGATAACTGGAAAGTTCTCATCTCAGTATGTGAAGGCGATGTGCAATGTGTTTGGAGATGATGAGAAGAAAGTGAAAGAGTATGTTGAGAAGATATGGTTGGGAGGTCCGAAGCTCGTGTCTAGTGTATCTTGTGTCTTTCATTGATTTGTACGTGCTGCAAAACAATTTAATACTTTATATCATTTGAGTTTTTTTTAATATATTTTAGATTTATATAGGTTTTACATACTATTGAATTGTAATTTATTGATATTATATGTTTTTTATTGAAAGATTTTATTCATTTTCTTTCAATTTAGTTGTCATTTGGAATTTTTACACACAGATTAAAAAACATTTAATTTAATATATATTTTTTTTAAAAAACACAATTACATATACAGCTAATCACATTTCAATAAATAGAAAAATAGAATAGTATATGGAATAAATAAATTTTGTATTGAAATTATAAAATTACATTTATTTTGAAACGAAAATCTTACTCTACATCGACAATAAAATTAAAACGGATGGAAAGAACAAGTTTTTAAAGTCCTACTCATTTTTGTTATTATAACTGCTTTTACATGTCTATGTGTTCAGAGGGTGACAATTCGGATGCTATCAGAATACCTATAGATATGATTGTTAAAAAAACATTGATGCATCGTGAACCATCAAATTTTGTGGTAATTGCCAAACTTACCCCAAAAAGTCAGCTGCTCAGGGTTCTTCAGTGTTTGAAATCGAGAAATAACGTTTCCGTCTTTGTCAAGTTGCCTGATAACACTGCACTAAATTCTATAGACTCAACTGTTAATTCGACGCAAGTTATTGGTGGAATCAAAAGGCCAGTACGTGATGTTGACTCATTGCAAGGTGATGAAGATGCTTTTAGGTGGATGATTACCACTTGGCCACTGAGGAAAGATGATTGCTCATATGATTGGTCAATGTCGCCTTGATACTTTTTTTTTTTTGCTTTCTCTCAACAGTCCCTAGTTTAATGTTTGATGTTTCATCTTTCTTCTTTTAAACTCGGTTTTGTGTTCAAATTATTTGTAGTTTTCTTCCATTAGTGATTTTTTTTCCAAGATGTTTTAGTTTCTTAAGCAACTGTTGTCAGTATCTTTATAATACAAGAAAACTAAATATTTGGCATGGTTAAGGTTGTACTTGGATGTGTTTCTGTATGGATCCAGTAATGCAAGTGATGCTTTTTTATTGGATAATTCTGTAAGAGTGTAACATAGTCTTCTTTGCTTGGAACCTGATCATTGATAACGGCACCATAATAATTCTCATTTAGTGTATGCAAGAATGGTTCTGTAACGCAATCGTTGAAAGGTTTTCAATGGTTTGAAGGAGACAAGTGTGGCATCATGGAATGCCATGGTAATGAGGATATGGAATACATGGGCGAACAAAAGAGGCTATCCAACTCTTTGAAAAGATGCAAAGAACAACAGGTCATAGTCCCGATGAGTCAAACGGCTTGTAACCACAGCGGTCTAATCCATGAAGGGCTGAGAGATATCTGAATCAAATGAAGCACACTCTTTTGGCCTAAAGCCAAATCTACAGCATTATGCTTGTGTTGTTGACACGTTAGGCCGAGCTGGGAAGCTACACAAGGCATTAAAGAAATGCCTTAGAAGAGATGTCTGAGGAACCTGATGTTGGAACCTGGAACTCTCTCCTCAGCTCGTGTAGAATCCATCAAAATCTTGAAATGGGAGAAGAAAATTGCTGCTAATTTATTTGCATTAGAACCAGAAAAGCCTGAGAATTATGTGCTGCTTTCCATCTTATATGCAGGATTGGGATGATGTCATGAAAATGAAGCAGAGCCATTTTTTTACACATATTAAATTTTAATATAGCATACATAATTTTTTGTTATAATCTATTTCTAATAACCTAAACCAATAGTAAATATAAGCAATTTGTAATAACCTTATAATTAATTATTACTACCTCTGTTTTAGAATATATGTCATTTTAGACCTTTTTTGTCACAAATTAAGTGTCGTTTTAGATTTTCGAGGTAAAATTTATTAGTTTTATATAATATTCTATTTTTCTATTGGTTAAGAAAATGTTAGGTGTATATGTAATAATGTTTTATTCTTGGAAGTATGTAAACTTAAATATTTTTTTAATCTGTGTGCAAAAAACTAGAATGACAATTAAATTGAAACAGAGAGAGTATTAGTTAAGAAAAATGTATTTTAAAACAATTTTTTATTGTATTGCTGTGACCGGAATCCTTATTTTTGTTTTTTGGGTCAATATTAGCGAATCCATTAATGGTTTGAGACTAATAATAAGAGCATCTTTAACACATAAGTTAATCACACTAGTTCCTGGATAAGAACATTCGAACAAATACCAACACACACATAAAGAACAAGAAGAAGAAAGAATGTTTTCAAGGCTGTTCAAGGCTGGTGAAAAGGTTCTGTTCAATCTTGTTAACAAGAAAGACTTTCACATGGCTTCGAGCAACACAGAGAATCCTCCTCCCAAAGTTCAAGAGCTCTACGAACTTTGCAAATCCACTTTCACTGGGAAAACTCCTTCTCCTACTTCTACTCCTGTCCAAAAACTCTGCTCTCTCTTAGGTATTTTACTTTTTCTCCCTTTCTCTCTGTTTGATTTCTCCGCTAGGGTTTGCAATTAAGGTTAGGTTTGATCGAATTGGACATAAAGGAACTATTAGGTTTAGTTGAATATTAGGGTTTCATTGTGGTCAAAAGGTAGAAACTTTGGGGATGTTTTGTGTTTACAAGCAGAGATGTGGTTTTGGGTCATTCTTGTTTGGGGTTTGATCGAATTGGACATAAAGGAATTATTAGGTTTAGTTGAATTTTAGGGTTTCATTGTGGTCAAAAGGTAGAAACTTTGGGGATGTTTTGTGTTTACAAGCAGAGATGTGGTTTTGGGTCATTCTTGTTTGGGGTTTGATCGAATTGGACATAAAGGAATTATTAGGTTTAGTTGAATTTTAGGGTTTCATTGTGGTCAAAAGGTAGAAACTTTGGGGATGTTTTGTGTTTAAAAGCAGATATGTGGTTTTGGGTCATTCTTGTTTGCAGATTCAGTGAGTCCTGGAGATGTTGGGCTTGAAGAGGAAGCTCAAGATGATGATAGAGGCTATGGAGTTTCTGGGGTTAGCCGAGTAGGAAGATGGGCTCAGCCGATTACATTCTTAGACATTCATGAGTGTGATACTTTTACAGTAAGTGTCTTTAAAGATTGTTACTGGATGCTATAATCAAGAAATCTAATTATATGTTTTTTTTTTTGTTCTTTCAGATGTGTATCTTCTGCTTCCCAACATCTTCAGTGATTCCATTGCATGACCATCCAGAGATGACTGTNGGAAGATGGGCTCAGCCGATTACATTCTTAGACATTCATGAGTGTGATACTTTTACAGTAAGTGTCTTTAAAGATTGTTACTGGATGCTATAATCAAGAAATCTAATTATATGTTTTTTTTTTTGTTCTTTCAGATGTGTATCTTCTGCTTCCCAACATCTTCAGTGATTCCATTGCATGACCATCCAGAGATGACTGTGTTCAGCAAAATCCTGTACGGATCACTTCATGTTAAAGCTTATGATTGGGTCGAACCTCCATGTGTTGTCACACAAGACAAATCTCAAGGTTATTGTTTTTTATTTTTCATTCTCATGACTGTGTCTAATGGGTCTCATTTTGTGTTGATTGATAATTTAAAAACTCTTTGCAACTATACTTGTAGCAGCACGGTTGGCGAAACTAGTTAAAGACAAAGTTGTAACGCCACAGTCTGAACTACCAGTGTTGTACCCGAAGACTGGAGGCAATCTCCATTGTTTCACTGCGCTGACTCCATGTGCTGTGCTTGACATTCTCACACCTCCTTACAATGAAAGTGCTGGCAGGTCTTGCAGTTACTACATGGACTATCCTTTCTCCACTTTCGGTATGTAAACTTTCTCTTCTTTTGCCAGTTTCTCTCCTCTTTAGAACAACATTAAATTTACTCTTTGGATTGATGTTTATAGCAATTGAGGAAGGAGTGAAGACAGTAGAAGGAAAAGAAGATGAGTACGCTTGGCTTGTGCAGATCGACACACCTGATGAGCTTCACATGCGTCCTGGATCGTATACGGGTCCAACTATTCAGGTTTAGATTGTTGCAGTTTGGTTTTGTAGCTAAGTAGAGTACTCTTTGTGTATCATTACTCCAAGTTAAATTTCTGGAGAGAGGATGTCAAATACAATTTTGTGTTAAAGGTGAACTCCTTGTCCTTGTCTGCTTCACACGAATACAATCAATTGAAACTATTTTCAATGTACATAAAGGTCGGTAATGAGATATGCTACTCAAAGTTCAAATTCAATTCTGTGCTAGTGAACTGCCATTACCCTACGTAAACGATTTTCTGATTCATGACTCAGATTCTATTCGAATTTATTTAAGGACTTTTTTTCTGATGTATGACTCATGTGTGACCGGGTATGGAATTGAAGTTTTTGATTTGGATTTGAGATGTTACAAATTAGGCCTGCCACTTCGGTTTTCCGAAACCGAACCGAACCGTCGGTTTTTGGTTAATCGAAGATTTTAAAAAAATTCTGAAATAAACCGAATGAAATTTCGGTTCGGTTATCGGTTTATTTTGGTTTTCAATTTTATTTCTGAAAATAACCAAATTTTGAAGTTTTCGATTAATTTTGGTATAATATTTTCAAAATATTCGAATATTTTCGATTATTTCAGTTAAATTCGGTTATTTTAGCTTATTCGATTATTTTTGGTTTGGTATTCGGTTATTTTTGGATATTTTTGGTTTTTAATTTTTTTATTTTTTTTTTGAAAATTGAAAACCGAACCAATAACCAAATTAATTTTTAAAATCATACCAAACTGAACTAAATTGAAAACCGAACCGAAAACTGAAGAGAACCGATTTGGCCCATTCGGTTCGGATAAAATCCCACGCCTATTACAAATGCCAGAGCAAAAACTGAGCCGGATAGTCTCGTGAGCTAAAAGTAGCCGGTAAACTTGTTTACTTGGTAACAATGCTGTTAAAAATTATAACAGACTGGTCGTAAGAAATCATTAAAGGAGGGAATTTTCAAGTGTGGACCACTCTCTTTTTAACTTTTTTTGACTGTTTAATAAAGAAAAAAGAGTGACTCCGATCAAATAGAGAGCTGGATCAAGTAACCGCCGCCACGTTAATCATCCTCTAGGTTTTATCACTCTTCTTCAACAATGGCGTCTTCGATTCTCAAAAACCCTACCCTCTCATTCTCATCACCAACAACAACAATCAACACCCCTTCCCTCCCCTCCTTCTCCTCAAACCCCTCACCTCTCTCCTTCCCTTTCCCACAACGCCGCCCTCACCGTTCCTCCGTCTCCCTCAGTCGCCAATCCCTCCGCCTCTCATGCTCCCTCTCAGATCCCTCTCCTCCCCCGCCCCTCCGCCGCCGCCGTCCGGATTACATCCCAAACCGCATTCCCGACCCAAACTACGTCCGAGTCTTCGACACAACCCTCCGCGACGGCGAACAATCCCCCGGAGCCACGCTCACCTCCAAAGAAAAGCTCGACATCGCGCGCCAGCTCGCGAAGCTAGGCGTCGACGTGATCGAAGCCGGATTCCCCGCCGCATCCAAAGACGACTTCGAAGCAGTCAAAACCATNTCCCAAACCGCATTCCCGACCCAAACTACGTCCGAGTCTTCGACACAACCCTCCGCGACGGCGAACAATCCCCCGGAGCCACGCTCACCTCCAAAGAAAAGCTCGACATCGCGCGCCAGCTCGCGAAGCTAGGCGTCGACGTGATCGAAGCCGGATTCCCCGCCGCATCCAAAGACGACTTCGAAGCAGTCAAAACCATAGCCGAAACCGTCGGAAACTCCTTCGTGGACGGTTACGTCCCTGTGATCTGCGGACTCTCGAGATGTAACAAGAGAGACATCGAGACGGCGTGGGAGGCTGTCAAGTACGCGAAACGGCCGAGGATCCATACGTTCATCGCCACGAGTGATATTCATTTAGAGTATAAGCTGAAAAAGAGTAAAAAAGAAGTTATCGAGATCGCGAGGGAGATGGTTAAGTTCGCGAGGAGCTTAGGGTGTGAGGACGTTGAGTTTAGTCCTGAAGATGCTGGAAGGTTTTTATTTTGTGAGAATAAGAATCTTAATTTGATTCCTTGGCTAATGATTCGTATCTTTGGGATTTTGGCAGATCGGAGAGGGAGTTTTTGTATGAGATACTTGGGGAAGTGATAAAAGCTGGAGCTACGACGCTTAATATACCTGATACTGTTGGTATAACGTTGCCTAGTGAGTTTGGTCAGTTGATTGCTGATATTAAAGCTAATACTCCTGGGATTGATGATGTTGTTATCTCAACGCATTGTCAGAATGATCTTGGACTCTCCACTGCCAACACTTTAGCTGTATGTCAACTTCTCGGCTTGGATCAGATTAGCTAAGCTCTCAGAAACTCAGAATGATCTAAGTTCAATCGTGTTTCTTTGAATTCAGGGTGCACATTCGGGTGCAAGGCAAGTGGAAGTGACTATCAATGGAATTGGTGAAAGAGCTGGAAATGCTTCATTAGAAGAGGTTTGATGAGCATTAGTAATCATCTAGTGTTGTATTTGAATACTTATTTTATTACCTAAAGATTTTCTTTGTGACTGTTTAGGTTGTGATGGCCATAAAATGCCGTGGAGATCATGTACTTGGAGGCCTATATACTGGAATTGATACTCGGCACATTGTTATGACAAGCAAGATGGTACACTTTTTGAATTTTGTTTAGCTCTGAAGACAAGCTAATTTACTTGCCTTGAGAAGGGGAAAGAGTTTGTAGAGTGCCAAGATAAGGTGTGTTTCATAACGTGTGGATTGATTTCTCAGGTTGAAGAATACACTGGAATGCATACACAGCCCCATAAGGCTATTGTAGGAGCGAATGCCTTTGCGCATGAAAGTGGTATTCATCAGGTCAGTTGATGAGAAGCATATTTGTAATAATGTATTTAGATTATTCTGTGACGAGATTACTCTGTTTGAGAAACATTAAAGGTTGTTCGCATAATTTGTTTGTTTTCCTCTTTGCAAAGTATAACTTTCCTTTTAGGCTGTAGCTTTTTAATCGATATGCTTATGTTTCAATCCCTTAGCATCCATTCCGTGGCTATTAATAGGATGAATTGATATATACTTGAAGCTATATACTCTTTTGACTTGCACGTTCACTCTTTCACCCTACTGCATAACTATACAACTATCTTCATGATTGTTTCTCCAGTTTCGCTTAATGACTGTTCATGCTTCTTTTAGGATGGAATGCTCAAACACAAGGGTACATATGAAATTATATGCCCTGAAGAAATTGGTCTTGAACGATCTAATGATGCTGGCATTGTTTTGGGAAAGCTTAGGTATGAAACTTTTTCTTGTTTTGCCTGTAAACTCCCAATCTGTATGTTATGTTCAGACAATGCAACAAACCGACAAGCCTGTAATTAGTGGATATACACCATTAGCCATTTGGTTTTATTTGCCAATTCATAAGCTAGTGTACACTACTTATATGCTTGAAACCCGAAATCTGCTGTTGGTTTATGTTTTGCTTGGATATAATATTATGCAGTGGGCGTCATGCGTTGAAAGACCGTTTGACTGAGGTACACATCAAGCTTACCCCATACACATTCGCTATTGCCATCTTTGTGGAAGACACTAATGTCCTTTCGTATCTTTTTATTTTACCAGCTTGGTTATGAACTAGATGATGAACAGCTAAGTTCCATATTCTGGCGCTTCAAATCTGTAGCTGAGCGGAAAAAGGTAGTTTGGTTTATCTGTGATCATCCATTCAAACTTATAGTTGTGTTTCCCAGTCCAACTGATAGTATATGCTATTTTCATGATCCAGAGAGTTACCGACGCAGATATAATAGCTTTGGTTTCTGATGAGGTTTTCCAGCCAGAAGCTGTGTGGAAACTCCTGGACATTCAGGTGAAATTGGGATCAAGATGATTTTTATTGTACTCGTTTAGATGTGTTCATTGTCTTTAGTCAGTTCTCATTTTGGTTGAAACTGGAATGCAGATAACTTGTGGAACTCTGGGGCTTTCAACAGCAACCGTTAAACTTGCTGATGCTGATGGCAAAGAGCATGCCGCTTGTTCTATGGGAGCTGGGCCTGTCGATTCAGCTTATAAGGCAATCGATCTTATTGTCAAGGTACTTTTTCACACAAACGTGGCTCACATATATACATATAACTTCCACCTGTATATCATCGGTTATTTAAAAACTTCATTTTCCATAATTTAGGAACCAGCGACTCTGCTTGAGTACTCAATGAATGCAGTAACAGAAGGCATCGATGCCATTGCAACCACAAGAGTTCTTATCCGAGGAAACAACATTTACTCCACTACAAATGCACTCACTGGTGAAGAAGTTCAAAGAACCTTCAGGTAAAATTCGTCTTCCTCGCATCTAATTCAACCCAGTGCAAATATCATATTTATAGTCTCTCTCTCTTTTGGCAGTGGAACCGGAGCGGGAATGGACATTGTGGTGTCGAGTGTCAAAGCTTATGTAGGAGCTTTGAACAAAATGCTCGATTTCAAAGAGAAGTCCCCAACAAAAATCCCTTCTCCAAACAACAAAGTACCTGCCTGAATCAAAGTCGTTTCTGGTCTAGGTACATAGTTTGGTTATTATAACGAGAGTTCAAAGTTTGCATATTGTTTTTAATGAAGTATCTTGCCGAAAGAGTTTGTTTGCTATAAATTATTTATATAACTAAAAATATCTATATTTAGAAATAATCGTGCTCTTGGTATTAACAAAACCAAACGGTTAACAGTTTAACTTGTCCCTAGAAGCTGTCATTAAACTAAACTTGGGTCTTAAAAACTGAAAGACACCTGATAGCTCTCTGTTCTTGTTTTACTTATTTGATAATTCTACGTTTATCAAGGATCTAAAACATTACCCTTCTCTGCAAATCCTTTTATGCTTTTGGATTTGAGAATAACAAGGGAGAAAATAAAATGTCGGAGCTAAGAACCGGGTTCCTAACAATGGCGACCATAGTCCTTATATGCCTAGGATTAACGATGACAGGAACAGGTTTATATCACAGGAAAATAGTGTCAAAATGCATCCAAGAAAGCGATGGCAGTTTCATCTTCATTGGCATGCTCTTGCTAGTGTTTCCTCAGTTTGGTCTTTACGCAATCTGTTGTCGATCAAAACGTATCTTCACCTTTTACATATATGCCATGATGTTCGTTTTCATTGTCCTTAGTTGCTACTCTTTAAAA